GTAGTCTAGTGTAGTGCATAGTGTAGTGTACAGTAGTGTAGTATAGAGTAGTGTAGTGCATAGTGTAGTGTATAGTTGTGTAATATAGAGTAGTGTAGTGCATAGTGTAGTGTATAGTTGTGTAATATAGAGTAGTGTAGTGTATAGTGTAGTGTATAGTAGTGTAGTGCATAGTGTAGTGTATAGTAGTGTAGTATAGAGTAGTGTAGTGCATAGTGTAGTGTATAGTTGTGTAATATAGAGTAATGTAGTGCATAGTGTAGTGTATAGTAGTGTAATATAGAGTAGTGTAGTGCATAGTGTAGTGTATAGTAGTGTAGTGTATAGTTGTGTAATATAGAGTAGTGTAGTGCATAGTGTAGTGTATAGTTGTGTAATATAGAGTAGTGTAGTGCATAGTGTAGTGTATAGTAGTGTAAAATAGAGTAGTGTAGTGCATAGTGTAGTGTATAGTAGTGTAGTATAGTATAGAGTAGTGTAGTATAGTATAGAGTAGTGCATAGTGTAGTGTATAGTAGTGTAATATAGAGTAGAGTAGTGCATAGTGTAGTATAGAGTAGTGTAGTGCATAGTGTAGTGTATAGTAGTGTAATATATAGTGTATAAAAGTGTAGTATAGAGTAATGTAGTGCATAGTATAGTGTATAGGAGTGTAATATAGAGTAGTGTAGTGCATAGTGTAGTGTATAAAAGTGTAGTATAGAGTAATGTAGTGCATAGTGCAGTGTATAGTGTAGTGTATAGTTTACTGTATAGCAGTGTAGCGTTTAGTAAACCAAACACAAAGCGACACCCACGATAACCCGTGCCTCTTTTCAGCGCCTCTTATAAACGCACGCAGTGGCGTTCAAAGGGGCGGGGGCCTCCCTAGCTCCCCTTTACTTGCGCTTGAAAGAGATACGATAGATCGTGGACACTGTCACCGCCCTCACCGTCATCCACAAGCCAACACCGAATGACAACAGTACACAGGAACGCCGTGTTACTGTTAAGACGTTCACACGTAGTCCACGGTGTGAGCACGTGCGGTGGTGAAGGGAAAGTGAACTTTCACAATCAATTTAAGTGTTTGTTATTTACAAATTTTGGCGTAAATCCACCGCCAAAACGCACTGGAAGACGTCTGCCAACCATGACGCCTGCTCTAGATTTGTAATTTGCGTGTCTCTCTCCCCGTGGTCGCGTTGATTTTCCTCTGGGTCCTCCAGAATCAACATCACGGCGCGTGGATTATTTTGCTGCTATAAATTTCCAGACGATAAGCCACTTCGCTGAGCTATCATTTGTGATAGCCGTGTCACTTCTGAAAAAGAGCTACATATTTCAGTGAGCATCACCTTGCAAAAAAAAAACAAAGTTAAGTTTGAATTTAACTAGACGGACTTTAGTTTTAAGAATCGATACTGACCACGGTCTATCCACTGCTAGATGGAGGCCTCTCCAAGCCGCCATCGCTCGGGATCTTGCAATGTGACAAGACCCCATCCTCGCTGGCGACGCGCGATCCGATCTCATCGCCGCTCCATCTCCACCGTTGGGGGGGGGGGTGTTTGTATCGTATCACCACGAGACCGCTAAATAAAAATAGTTGTCAAGTAACTACATTCTATCGAGAGGGGCTCTCTCCTCCCGCAGAGAACATTCCCTGGCAGCAGTGGAACGAGTGAGCGATTGCAGGGGCTGCGCCTTGACCTCTTCTCCCTCCTCTTCCTCCTCCTCTTCCACTTCTCCCTCTTCCACTTCTTCCTCTCCCTCTTCCACTTCTTCCTCTCCCTCTTCCACTTCTTCCTCTTCCACTTCTTCCTCTTCCTCTTCCACTTCTTCCTCTTCCACTTCTTCCTCTTCCACTTCTTCCTCTTCCTCTTCCACTTCTTCCTCTTCCACTTCTTCCTCTTCCTCTTCCACTTCTTCCTCCTCTTCCACTTCTTCCTCCTCTTCCACTTCTTCCTCCTCTTCCACTTCTTCCTCCTCTTCCACTTCTTCCTCCTCTTCCACTTCTTCCTCCTCTTCCACTTCTTCCTCCTCTTCCACTTCTTCCTCCTCTTCCACTTCTTCCTCCTCTTCCACTTCTACTTCCTCTTCCACTTCTTCTTCCTCTTCCACTTCTTCCTCTTCCACTTCTCCCTCTTCCACTTCTCCCTCTTCCACTTCTTCCTCTTCCACTTCTCCCTCTTCCACTTCTCCCTCTTCCACTTCTCCCTCCTCTTCCACCTCTTCTTATTCTTCCTCTTCTTATTCTTCCTCTTCTTAATCTTCCTCTTCTTAATCTTCCTCTTCCACTTCTTCCTCTTCTTATTCTTCCTCTTCTTAATCTTCCTCTTCTTATTCTTCCACTTCTTCCTCTTCTTAATCTTCCTCTTATTAATCTTCCTCTTCTTAATGTTCCTCTTCTTAGTCTTCCTCTTCTTAGTCTTGCTCTTCTTATTCTTACTCTTCTTATTCTTCCTCTTCTTCCTCTCCTCCTTCCTTCTATTCCTCCTCTCCTCCTTCCTCACCTTCTTCTTCCTCTTCCTTCTATTCCTCCTCTCCTCCGACTCTCCTCCTTCCTCTTCTTCTTCCTCTTCTTCCGTACGGCTGGTGATGCAGATTGCAGAGCATAGAATACAATTTCACATTCAGGTGGTCAGCAGAGCAGTTGTATCGCCGTGATGTCTCCTTCGTATTCGTGGATGTGGGGGCGCTGCATCGTTATAAGTCGTCGTACTACGGCCCTGTTCTGGATGACCCACGGTCGCACGCCGCTTCTTGAGAGTTTTTTTTTGTTAGTGCCCATTTGTGACACCAGGCAACTGCATCATCTGCTGCTGCCATGGTTTGTGCAGTCGACTATGAGCGGCTTCGTGGAAGATCAAACCCCAGGGGATCTTCTGCGTCGAGCCTTTCACAACCGGTGTTTCCTTGCGAGTTCTTACGAACTCCGTTCAGCTCTCCAAGCGTCATCGGGGGTTTGCGGTTTGGGGTCAGTGGATGGCGGTTTAGGGGTGGATCTGTGAGGCTATCGCCGATGGACTGTGGGGGGGTTGATACTCTGGCACAAAGTGGGGTAAGAGCGAGCGAGCGTGCACGCACTGTGCTATGAAACCGGAGAAGTGAATTTCATTCCAGGCCGTGTGGGCTGGCGTCAATGGCGACCGACACCCGAAACCGGTCACGGGCCGGAGCTTTGTTAAAAAAAGAAAACACAGCACAAAGAAGAATCGCGTCGCTTTTTACGTTTTCATTTGGGCCCTCTTCCATTAGTATAATCATGAAGTGGGTTTTCAATCCCCCTGGGCTTAGTAGGTTAAACCAAATTAGGACTGTAATTCAGAGATAAATCATTCGGAGGTCCGCCTTTCTTGATGATCCGGAGAAGTGCTGATGAAATACCAAGGCGCCTAAACTAAACCATTTAAACTATCTAGATTTGAAGTTTTCGTGACTGCAGGGATCCATACTCTTTGGTTCTTTCGGTAAAGTCACGTGGGTAGAAAAGAAAATAAATTAAATCACGACGTTTGCGATTGCAACGTCGTGATCTGATGATTGCTTGTGTTGCAATCGAAACGTCGTGATTTAATTCATATTATCTTAAAGCTACGTGACTTTTTCCGAAGGAACCAAATAGTATTTAAACTATTTTTCATTTGACGAGGTAAGGCCCTCCTGAGCTGTGTAACTGTTTTCAGAAGCGACCTGGCTATCACAAATGATAGCTCAACGAAGTTGCTTATCATCACGTGGACATTTATAGCAGCCAAAGATTCTAAACACGTGATGTTGATTCTAAATGTGGAGGGAAAAACCGGAGGGATTGGGGAAAAAAAAATATCAACGCAACCACGGAGAGAGAGAGAGAGACACACAAAAACTAAAAAATATACAGCAGGTGTCAGGGTCGGGATCGAACCAATGACCTCCTGTATACCAGGCGAGGTAGTTAACATCTCCTAGCCACCGCAGCACCTAGACACATATCACCGCCAAATACCAACAACCCCGCCACCGCCGCCGCCGCCGCCCCTGCCGTCAACACCACCACACCCAGTCAAACAGCGCTAATCACACTCTCGTAATGCAGCAATTTATAGCAATCGTCCATCGCAGAGTGAAGTGGTGGCTCGTTTTGAAATTGGTCGATGATTACAAAGAGCCGGCGCGTCACTCATTGCGTCACTCATTGCGTCACTCATTGCGTCACCAGTTGAGTCACCAGTTCGGTGTTTTTCGGTGAAATATGGCCACCGGTGGCTTCGGATCGTGACGTTTCCTACGCCGCCCATCCGCAAGTTCAGTCATTTCAGAGGCACACTTTTCATCACCGGGATATTTTGGGCCAATGGCTGTCATGGTTGTATGTTTTTTTTTTGTTGCATATGGAGGGGTGGAGGAGGAAACCGGAGAACCCGGAGGAAACCCGTGCAGAACAGGCGGGAGAGAAACAGAGAGAAGATGCAGTCTCTGCTCTCCCACCACGCGAATTGAATACATAACGCGACGAATGTACGAGGGAAACACACTTTCAATAACGCGGCCGCGATTTGGATCGAGCAAAAACGGAACTACGTCCCGCGGGTAGGAATAAGCGGCCGTACGGCTGCCTCGGCATGGCATCTCACAAGGCGGCATTGCTGCTGGATTCTTCTAGATGGTACACACGCGCCCTCAGCCTTTGTCCGGCCTGCGTGCGCGTCTCACGCGTGTTACCGTGCTTCACCCAACATGACACATTACTTACGACAACGCGATTTTTCCAAAATGCGGTGTTCTTCAGGAACGAGTCGGGAATCGAAACCCAGCAGCTTCTTGCTGTGAGGCGCGAGAGAGTTACCACCGCGCTTCCAACCAATAACTCTCCCAACAATCGCGGCTAACGCAGAGATACCCGGGCAGGTAAGTAGGTACACGTTGAACTTCCTTCGCGCCGTACGTAAGCCGTGGGCTCGCCAGGAAGTGCACTTGCATGGAGTCTACGTCATCCGGTTACCAGGTCGCCGTGGTAACCAGGGCGAGGTGTTTACCTTGGCGGCGACGATGCTGAGGCCCAGGCCGTGCTGCTTCTTGAGCGTGACAGTGAGCACCTTGGGCACCTGGTGGTGCAGCGAGCCCTGCGTCACCACCACCGCACAACCGCACAAACGCGGCAGAAAAAGCGCCGCCAATCACACACCGCCGTCGTCACCGTGTGTCAGCGTATGTCAGCATGTGTGTGGTGGAGCGGTAGTGTAGCGGTTAGTTGCACTGCACTATGGCCAGCACCACGCCCGGCCGCCTTTGTCTCACCTGGCGGCGACGTTTTTATACGTCGCACCAGGTACGCACCGGTGTTGACCGTGAGAGGGAATCGAACCCGGTTCTTATTGTGTGTGTACGTGCCTGTGTGTGTGTGTACGTGCCTGTGCGTGCGTGCCTGTGTGCAATTGTGGGGAGCGGTAGTGTAGCGGTTAGCGCGCTGCGCTATGAACCTGGCGACCCAGGTTCGATTCCCGCTCACGGCCAACACCGGTGACGATTATTTGAACAGGCACTGGGCCTCCTCCAGGTCGACTCAGCCTCAAATGAGTACCTGGTGCGGTGTGCAAACATCGCCGCTGGGGAGACAAAGGCGGTCGGGCGTGGTGCTGGCCACCCACCCCCTAGTGTACCGTTCCGGCCTTCATAGGTGCTTGCTAACAGCACTTGCCCCAACAGTCTGCGTAGGCTATACGGGGGATCTTTGTCTTTGTGTGTGTCAGTGAGTTGGCACAGTGTAGGGGGGGGGGGCATCTGCCAGTCATCTCATACAGCAAACCCACGGCACCTGCGGGGTCTGCCCCGTGACCTCCTTGCGAGCAGCGACGACACTTCACCCACGTGACTTTACCGAATAGAACCATAGAGTATGGATCCTTGCAGTCACGAAAGCTTCAAATCTAGAATCAAATCTAGAACTTCACGTGGCCTCAAAAAACATGCACCTGGCCTGGCACAGGCGCCGTGGTTGACGGCACCGTCACTCAGTGGCGAATGGCGGGTATTGGTGTAACCGGTCCTGGGCCTCCCTTAGGTCGACTCAGCCTCAAATGAGTACCTGGTGCTGTTTGTAAAAACACTGCCACTCGGGGAGACAATGGCGGCCGGGCGTGGTGTTGGCCAACGACTCTTCGTTTACCATGCCGGCCTTCACAGGTGCTACTCGCTAACAGGACTTGCCCCAACAGTCTGTTGAGGCTATACGGGTGATCTTTGTCTTTGTGCTCGTGTAGGACGGGCTGGGGATCAGCTGCTCAGCGCTGATGAGAACAGCCTGGTCCGGCCTTTCTCAAGAGGGGCAGTCTCATTCACACATACATGCACTCACTCACACACTCGTTCACTCCACCGCTCACTCGCAGCACTTGCCCCAATAGTCTGTTAAGGCTACACAGGTTATCACTGCCTCTGCGTATCAGCGTGCGTGCGTCAGCGTGCAAGCACCGTGTCAGCGGGAGGGAGGGGGCCACTGTCGTTGTCGTGACCCTCAAAGAACACGGTCCACACTCCCGGGGAGCGTGGAAGGGGCACCAGACGACACAAACCTGCACACACACACACAAATGTAAAGATCGCCCATGAATGTATGTACGTTGAACGTCTTTCGCACCGTACGTAGCCAACCATGCTAATCGGGAGGTTCCGGGGCCTCCCCTAGGCCGACTCGGCCTTAAACGAGCACCTGGTGCGTGGGTGTAAACATCGACACTGGGGAGACAAACAGTCGTGTGTGTAGCCACACAAGGCTGTTGGGGAAACACTGTCCTCTTTATAGTCTTGGTTCTTTCGGTAAAGTCACCACGTAGAAGGGAAACAATAAAGTAATAAAAATATAAAACAATAAAATTCTCACGACGTCTCGACTGCAACACAAGCAATCATCATCAGGTGTGAAAACCACACGTAGAAGGGAAATAATAAAAATATAAAACAATAAAATTCTCACGACGTTTCGACTGCAACACAAGCAATCATCATCAGGTGTGAAAACCACATCAGGTGTGAAAACCACACCTGATGATGATTGCTTGTGTTGCAGTCGAAACTTCGTGAGAATTTTATTGTTTTATATTTGTATTACTTTATTGTTTCCCTTCTACGTGACTTCTCCGAAAGAACCAAGAATATGAATCCCTGCAGTCACAAAAGCTTTAAATCAAAATTGCCCTCTTCATTGAACTTTTTTTTATTTTACCAGGTATGGGCCCCTCTGAGCTATGTAGCTCTCTTTCATAAGCGACCTGGGTCAACCACAAATGATGGCTCAAAGAAGTGGCTCATCATCGTCGCGTGTAAATGTATCGCAGCAACCAAATACTCTCCGTCTCTCTCATTTGCTGTTTCTCTCATTCACTGTCTCTCCCTCTCTAGCCCGCATAGCTCCCTAACACATGTGTCTCCGTGTCTGTGTGTTGTCTCTCTCTCAAATTTAGCAATCTTTGGAAGAACGTTAATCAACCAGGTAGGGTGTTGACTGTTATTATTAGCCGACTCTCTGCGTTGTATTGCATTGTATTTCTAAGTTTACTAGGTTTGTTTTCTCTTTCATTTGTACCTGATGATGAATGATTGTGTTGCGATCGAAACGTCGTATGCTATTATTGAATTTATTTTCGTTCTACGTGACTTTACCGAAAGAACCAAAGAGTATGTAAGTCGGTGTCGCGCTTCCCTCGATCTCCTCTCCATCTCGCTCTCCCCGGCAGAGCGGAGCGAGAAATGCCCCAATTCCATGTGGAACCGGGGCATTCACTCCGTCTCTTTCTCTCTTATACACACAAACATTATCTCTGTATCTCTCCCCTTACTTTAGCTCTCCCTCGCTCTCCCCCGTACTTCCGGGCCAGAGCGAATCGAGGAAGGCGGCGGAGTCCGTCTGGTACCCCTCTTACTCCCTCACTCCGTCTCTCTCTCTCTCTCACACACTCGCTCTGCATCTCTCCACTGCTCACCCCATCTCTCTCCCTCCCTCCCACTCTCCCCCGTACCTCTCTGGCAGAGCGGAGCGAGGAACTCGGCGAGTCCGTGCGGCACTCCCTTGACGATGTCGCACGAGTAGCCGTCCTCGGGGAGCAGGAAGGGCAGCTGCAGATCCGGGTCCTCCTCCAGACGCACCTCGCGCAAATCGCTGTGCGCCAGCTCGTCAGCAGTGCTGGTGGCCACGGCAACCACGCTGTCGATCAGTTCCTGCAAAGACGAACACCCACCGTGTAGCTTTAACAGACTGTCCGGGGGGCAAGCGCTGTTTGCGAGTAGCGACTATGAACGCTGGCACCGGGGCACACGAGGTTGGTGGATAGCCAGCACCGCTCCCGACTACCGTTGTGTCTCCCCGCGTCACCCGGCCAATCCCAGCGTCACCCGGCCTATCCCCGCCTCACCCGGCCTATCACCTACGACAGCCAGCGTATCCGCCACTGCCACCCCCCCCTCTGCCGTGCATGCCCCCCGTGCGCGTGCCCCCCCGTACGCGTGCCCCCCCCGTACGCGAGGGATGCTGGGCTCCCCCGTGGCGCCCTGGTATCCCTCGAGCAGCGCGCGCAGCTGCAGCGAGTTGAGCTTGAAGCAGGTGCTGCTGATCTCCGGCACGTCCTTGGGCGCGTACTTGTCCATCGTGAGCAGGGTCGTGGCCTGGGGATGCAAACCACACGGCGAGAAGTGCAACAACAACAACAACAGGATTAACGGCGGACGGCCACGAGCCCGGCCGCCTTTGTCTCCCCCGGGTGGCGATGTTTTACACTCCGCCCCCCCCCACAGCTACTCATTTGAGGCCGAGTCGACTGTCACCAGCGCTGGTGGCCGTGAGCGGGAATCGAACTAAGGATCATCGGCTTTCGTAGCGCGGCGCGCTAACCGCCGCTCCCCCACACGTGCACACGCGCACAAACACACACAGACGCGCACACGGACACACGCAAGCACAAAGACAAAGATCCCATGTGTAGCTTTTAGCAAACTGTTGGGGCAAGCGCTGTTAGCGAGAAGCACCTATGAAGGCCGGCACTGTGGCACGCAAAGGGGTGGGGGGTGGCCAGCACGACGCCTTTGTCTCCCCAGTGGCGATGTTTACACACCACACCAGGTACTCATTTGAGGCTGTGTCGACCTAGGGGAGGCCCATGACCGGTTCAGACAATCGTCACTGGTGTTGGCCGTGAGCGGGAATCGAACTCGGGTCGCCAGGTTCATAGCGCAGCGCGCTAACTGCTACACTACCGCTCCCGACACTCCACCACGGCCCACACACAGCCTGCACCACATGCACACAGTCCGCACCGCAATGTATACACCGTAGTACACCACACACTAAGCTATACATTCCGCAGTACACCATACTCTACAGTAAACCACACTCTACAGTACACCACACATGCTGCAGTTTACCCACTTCCATGCAAGGAAAAAGATCCCCCCCCTGAAGGCCTTAATAGGACTGTTGGGGCAAGTGCTGTTAGCAAGCAAGTATACACACCACACCCAACACACATCACAACACACCACATACACAACACACACCACAGACGCAACACACACCACACACGCAACACAGCTACACCACACACACACCACACACACACCATACACACCACACACACACACCACACACACACACCACACACCACACACACACACCACACACACACCACACACACACCACACACACACCACACACACACACCTGCATGATCCTGCTGAGGTGGCAGTCGGCGGCGAGCTCGAGGCCCTGGCGCTCGGCCCAGCCCTCGACGGCGTGCAGGCGCTCGTGCAGCGCCACCCCCCAGTAGTAGGAGCAGAGGGGCTGGCGAGCTGCCGCGCCCCGCGCCAGCTCGTTGAAGAGCCACATGTTGACGAAGTGGAAGAGCTGCGAGAAGAGCTGGATGGTGAGCGCCGCGTTCACGCGGCACCGGCGCAGCAGCGACATGGCGCCGCTCAGCGTCTGCAGCACGTCGTCTGGGAGGGGGAGGATGAGGGCGAGGGCGAGGGAGCATGAGGAGGAATAAGAGAATGAGGAGGATGAGGAGGGAAAGGGGAGGAAGAGGATGAGGGCGAGGGAGCATGAGGAGGAATAAGGGAATGAGGAGGATGAAGAGGGAATGGGGAGGAAGAGGATGAGGGAGGATGAGGAGGAATAAGAGAATGAGGAGGATGAGGAGGGAATGGGGAGGAAGAGGATGAGGGTGAGGGAGGATGAGGAGGAATAAGAGAATGAGGAGGATGAGGAGGGAAGGGGAGGAAGAGGATGAGGGCGAGGGAGCATGAGGAGGAATAAGAGAATGAGGAGGATGAGGAGGGAAGGGGAGGAAGAGGATGAGGGCGAGGGAGGAAGAGGGAGGGAGGGTGATGGAGGGTGAGGGAGGGCGAGGGAGCATGAGGAGGAATAAGGGAATGAGGAGGATGAGGAGGGAATGGGGAGGAAGAGGATGAGGGCGAGGGAGGAAGAGGGAGGGAGGGTGATGGAGGGTGAGGGAGGATGAGGAGGAATAAGAGAATGAGGAGGATGAGGGAAGAGGAGGATGAGGAGGGAAGGGGAGGAAGAGGATGAGGGCGAGGGAGAAAGAGGGAGGGTGATGGAGGGTGAGGGAGGATGAGGAGGAATAGGAGGATGAGGAGGGTGAGGGAGGAAGAGGGGGAAGAGGATGAGGGCGAGGGAGCATGAGGAGAAATAAGAGAATGAGGAGGATGAGGAGGGAAGGGGAGGAAGAGGATGAGGGCGAGGGAGAAAGAGGGAGGGAGGGTGATGGAGGGTGAGGGAGGATGAGGAGGAATAGGAGGATGAGGAGGGTGAGGGAGGAAGAGGGGGAAGAGGATGAGGGCGAGGGAGCATGAGGAGAAATAAGAGAATGAGGAGGATGAGGAGGGAAGGGGAGGAAGAAGGCGAGGGAGGAAGAGGGAGGGAGGATGAGAAGGGCGAGGGAGGAAGAGGAGGAAGAGGAGGAAGAGGATGAGAATGATGACCACGCAGAGCTGACGGACAAGCGGAATTTGCCGCCGGCTTGCTGCCTGGCCACTGCCTTCCCCTCCGTGTCCTTGGGTCCTCCTCACACCTCGAAGTCATTCCCTCTTGCTCTCTCTCTCTCGTGCTCACCGTCTCTCCACGAGGGAGAGGGATCAAGTACGGCGTGCATTACAAGTTGAACTTATTGAGATTATTATTAAGAAGGAAATTCACCGGTTTCACAGCCGGCCGCGTCTATTCTCGGAAAGCAATCATGACCCCACCCCCCCGCGCGGCCTTCTGCGGCCGGTCCAGGTATAAGTTCAGGTCAGGGCAGGTTTTGTTTGCTGGCCAACAAGACAAAGATCCCGCCGTATAACCTTAACCGACTGTTGGGGCAAGTGCTGTTAGCGAGTAACACCTACGAGGGCTGGCACGGCACACGAAGGGGTGGTTGGCCAGCACCACATCCGACCGCCTTTGTCTCCCCTAGTGGCGATGTTTTTGCACACCGCACCAGGTACTCATTTGAGGCTGAGTCGATTTCGGGGAGGGCCGAGGGCCGGTTCAGATAATCGTCACTGGCGGTGGTGCAGCGGTTAGCTGTACCAACACACACACACAGGACATGCTGTCTGCTGCTACTCCCATCTGGTGGCCACAGATGGGAAAAGAAAATATGGCACAGCAGGTCAACCGGAGCCTCGATACCTCCATTTATTTACTCTGACAACTTCTACCGAAAATCAATATTAGGAGGGGTAACAGACAAATTTGAAAACTAAAGGACACGTGGATGTCTAGTGGACATCTGCGAGTAGCAGGGGGAAGGGGGGGAGGGGCAAGAACGCGTCACGTGGGGGGGCAGCAGCAGCAGGGGAAAAAAACGCGGGGAAGCTTAGATCAGAGGGAGGGCAGCGCAATAGGGGAGCACATAGCAGCAGAGTGAAGTTGGAGGGGGGGGGGGGGATGGGCAGCACTGAGAGCAAGGGAAGCAAAAGGGGCAGCAGCTATACCGATCTTGGGGCCCTGGGCGCTGGGCTCCTCCGGATCCTCCAGGAAGGCCGGCATGCACTTGTTGAGATCCGACTGCAGGCAGTGAACCAGGTGCCTGCAATCACACGCACAATCACACGCACAATCACACACACACAAACACACACAGACAAAGACCCCCATATAGCCTTTAACAGGCTTTCTGGGCAAGTGCTGTTAGCAAGCACCTTTGAAGGCTGGAACGGTACATGAGGGTGTGGGTGGCCAACACCACGCCACCTTCACCTCCCCAGTGGTGATGTATACACATCGCACAAGGTACTATTTTAAGGCTGAGTCGACCTAGGGGAGGCCCAGGCGAGGTTCAGATAATCGTCACTGGTGTTGGCCGTGAGCGGGAATCGAACCCGGGTCACCAGGTTCTTAACCTCCCCAGTGGTGATGTATACACATCGCAAAAGGTACTATTTTAAGGCTGAGTCGACCTAGGGGAGGCCCATGACTGGTTCAGATAATCGTCACTGCTGTTGGCCGTGAGCAGGAATCGAACCCGAGTGGGGGGCGGGTTCATAGCGCGGCGCAATGAACCGCTGCACTACCGCTGCACTACCGCTGCACTACCGCTGCACTACCGCTGCACTACCGCTCCCCACACGCACAACCCGCACACCTCCAATTAGCACGGTTGGCTACGCTCGGTGCGAAAGAAGTTCAAGATACATACGTACACACAAAGATAAACTATAATAGCGCTTTTTTTTTGGGGGGGGGGGGGGTTAGATCGTGTAAATATATAAATGTTGTGTCGTTAAAACCCGCCACCACCCGACACAGCCAACTCGTAAGGGTTGTCACGTAAACAGAACGGGGCCGATTCGTCACCGGTACAGTGTTGGCGAGCCACATTTAATATATACTTACGGGATCTAACCCCAAAAAACCCCTCTATTATGGATGATATTGGTCGCGAAAGCCTACGTGCTAAAGACAAACTAAAGTAAGTTCAGTATTTTTGTTTATTTTACGAGGAAAGGCGCCCCCCGCCCACAAATGGATAGTTCAACGAAGTGGCTTATACTCTTTGGTTCTATTCGGTAAAGTCACGGAGGTAAAAATAAAATTTTAAAAATCACGACGTTTCGGCCACAACACAAGTGGCCTTCATCAGGTGAAGGGACCGGACTGTCCAGAGGACAGCGTTGGAGTGAAGACAGCCAAGCCCAAAGGAGAAGTGGCTCATCATCATCACGTGTGGAGATTTCTCGTCAGGGCAGTCCTCGAGTCACGAACGCGTTCGTTCTCGAGAGCCGTTTGCAAGTCGAACGGTTCGTCAATTCGGAACACAACAAACGCAGCACCTTATTTAAATGCCCACACGGACAGTGTTATGAAATGCGTCACGGTTCAAGGGAATCATTGTTACACTCATAATTCCGAAGAAATATTGTACATTTGCTTGGAACACTGTCAAAATTGGTGGATACTAAATAACACATTCACCTCGAGTCCTGATGCTAGCTTGTAGTCGGAAGGGGGGCAGAGTCACCACAATTGCACACAAAGACAAAGATCCCCCGTATAGCCTAAGCAGACTGTAGGGGCAAGTGCTGTTAGCGAGCAGCACCTATGAAGGCCGGAACGGTACACGAGGGGGTGGGTGGCCAGCACCACGCCCGGGCCGCCTTTGTCTCTCTAGTGGCAATGTTTACACACCGCAACAGGTACTCATTTGAGGCTGAGTCGACCTAGGGGAGGCCCAGGACCGGTTCAGATAATCGTCACTGGTGTTGGCCGTGAGCGGGAATCGAATTCGGGTCGCCAGGTTCATAGCGCAGCGTAGCGCTAACCGCTACACTACCGCTCCCCACAATTGCACACACACACAGACACGCACGCACGCACAGGCACGCACGTACACACACAGGCACGTACACACACACTAAGAACCGGGTTCGATTCCCTCTCACGGTCAACACCAGTGCGTACCTGGTGCGACGTATAAAAACGCCGCCACCAGGTGAGACAAAGGCGGCCGGGCGTGGTGCTGGCCACCCAGCGTTGTTTTTACTGCCGCGCCAGTGGGCACCGCTCACCACCACAGCGCGAGGAGAAGCATCCCCCCCCCTCCCCCCCCCCTTTCTCTCCAACCGATAGGACGACAGAACTCCTGCCGAGAACTGTCGGCCCGGTGCGGCGCCGGCTACCACCCCCCACCCACCCCTCCCTCGCCTGCGTGCCAGTGCCGGCCTTCACAGGTGCCGCTGCCCGCCGACAGCACTCGCCCCGACAGTCTGCCGAGGCCTCCCCTAGGTCGACGCAGCCTCAAATGAGTACACCTGCTGCGTACTAAACATCGCCACTTGGGGAGACCAAAGCGGCCGGGGGGCGTGGTGCTGGCCACTCCACCCCCTCCTGTTGAGGCTACACCGGCGGGCGGGGTGGACGGCGACCTTCGTGTTTGTGCCGGCCGGCGTGTGTCTCACCGGAAGGCCGTGTGCACGCCGCTGGCCAGCACGTCCTGGCCCTCGGCGGTGACGCGGCCCAGCTCGACGTCCTGCTTCAGGAAGTTGAGCAGCTCTGAGGCGTTGGCCATCCAGAACGCGAGCGCGCTCGCCATGCCGCTCTGCTCCTGCACCACCACAGCAGCAGCAGCAGCAACCACCCGGCGACGATCAGCACCGCAATCACCACCACCACGGCAACAACCACCATGGCAACCATCAGCACCGCAATCACCACAGCACCACCACCACAGCAACAACCACCACGGCAACGATCAGCACCGTAATCAACACAACACCACCACAGCAACAACCACCATGGCAACAATCAGCACCGCAATCACCACAACAACACCGCCACCACTCTCACAACCAGCATTACCACCATTCCAGAATGAAAGCGCGCTCACCATCCTACTCGGCTCCTGCTCCACCAACACCACCACCACCACCACCCCGGCAACAATCATCAACCACAATCATCACCGCAGATCCTGAGCATTCAACACAATCAGACCAACACGCCACGGCGTGAGTGCGCGTCAGTTAGTCCGCACGGCAGGCGCAGATGAGGCACGGGTGAACGAGCAGACAGAGCACTGACGTGACGGTGTTAGCGGGGAGAGGTGGGCGGTTGAGTGGGGAAGGGAGGGTGGGTAGGAGATGTTATCTCCCTCGCCTGGTACACAGGGGGTCGTGGGTTCGATCCTGTCCCTGACGATCCCGTCCCTGACGCCTGCTGCTGAGGTCGTGGGTTCGATCCCGTCCCTGACGCCTGCTGCTGTATATTTGGAGTTGGCGTGTCTCTCTCTCTCTCATCATCATCACGGTGGCTAGGTGATGTTAACTACCTCACCTGGTACACAGGAGGTCGTGGGTTCGATCCCGTCCCTGACGACTGCTGCTGCTGTATATTTGGAGCCAGCGCGTGTCTCTCTCTCTCATCATCATCACGGTGGCTAGGAGATGTTATCTCCCTCGCCTGGTATACAGGAGGTCGTGGGTTTGATCCTGTCCCTGACGCCTGCTGCTGTATATTTGGAGTCTGCGCGTCTCTCTCTCTCTCTCTCTTTCCCCCCCCGTGGTCGTGCGGATTTTTCTGCGGCTCCTCCGGTTTTTGCCCTCCACATTTAGAATCGACGGCACGCATTTATTTGGCTGTTACAAATTCCCACGCGACGGGGGGGGAAAAAAAAAAAAAGAGCTGGACAGCTCAAGTGGGCCATTACGCGGCACAAAATAAAAAGGAGCTCGTCGTTTTGGCAATTCTAGTCGTTTCACGTTGACGCTCCGGTCTCCGTGCGCACGCGGGCGGGGGGAGGGGGGGAGATGCGTCCGGGTGTCGTTGGTGGATGGGCACAGCGAGATGCATGGAAAGCGGCGGGGGGGGGGCGGGGAAAGGAGGTTACAGGGAGGGGGGGGGCGGGGGCAGGGTTACACTCAAAGCCAAGGGGGCGGGGCTTTGACGCTCGCTACCCCGGCCGCGACGTCGTCAGAAGATTTTGCGACCGAAAGTGCGCCGTAGTCGCAAACAACGTTAGCGACGTAGGCGAGTTGGTACGCGTCGCCACGCTCGTCCCCCCCCCCCCTCCTCGCTCTGTCAATAAGCTGCTGGACTGAGGGGGGCTGCACCCCCCCCCCCCCCCCACGGCCGTGCGGGTTGACCGGCGCTGAGGGCGGGCGAGTGTCGATGTTGGAACGTACGATCATCGAGATTGTTTTGCTGCTCTAAATTTCCACGCGTCGATGAGCCGCTGAGCCGAGCCCTCATTTGTGCCCCGGGTCGCTTCTGACAAAAGAAGCTAATAAGCTCATTAGGCATTAGCTGTTAAGATAATTTTTATTGTTATTTATATATATAATTTATATATATACCTGCTAAGATAAAAAAAAAGTTTAGTTGTGTATTGTGAATTTTTAGTGATTCGTTCGCCTTTCCTATACTTTGCACTCCTATCGTGTTTGGACATCGGTGAAAGAGCCTTATAGCTCATCGGATTCCTCCTGCAGCATCAATACAGGTTCTGATTCCGATGAGTGTAGTGCACAAACAAACGAACCTTGCTGCACTGGCCTCTGCTGCCAGCAATGTAGCCCCCCCCCCTACCCCTAGCGGCTAGTGTGAACCTATAGCACCCTGCTATGCACGACTGGTGGTGGTCCCCCAACGAAAACAACTATCCAGGCTCAACCTCCGCTTGGAGTCCTAGATCTGACGAGATCGGCAGTGCTCCCGTTAAGTGCTCAACCGTTAGGGTCGCTGTCAACGTCATTCACCCAACGGGGAACCACAGGCACACAGCAGCAACAGCAGCCATCGTCATCCGCCCCCCCCTACCCCCCCTTGGGTGGGCGGGGGGGGGGGTTAAACGAGCAGGGAACTAATAGTAATAATAATAATCGTGAATAAACATGCCATAGCAAAGTGAGAGAGATAACGCGGTGTGTTAACGCAGCGTTCTTCACCGATTTCCAGAGCGGAGGCCCACGTTCGCCGATAAGACATCAGCAGCGTGAAGCTCACCGCACCATTTGATACCATTGGGGGTTTGACAGCAGCACGATGATGATGATGGGTGTTGGGAGGGATTTCACTCTTTGTGTATTGCCGTTGATGAACTAAGAACCAGAGTCACTGCCATCACACATCACTGACCCAGCTCTCACGTTGAAGAACTAAGAACCAGAGTCACTGCCATCTCAAATCACTGACCCAGCTGTCACGTTGAAGAACTAAGAACCAGAGTCACTGCCATCACACATCACTGACCCAGCTCTCACGTTGAAGAACTAAGAACGAGAGTCACTGCCATCTCAAATCACTGACCCAGCTGTCATGTTGAAGAACTAAGAACCAGAGTCACTGCCATCACACATCACTGACCCAGCTGTCACGTTGAAAAACTAAGAACCAGAGTCACTGCCATCACAAATCACTGACCCAGCTCTCACGTTGATGAACTAAGAACCAGTCACTGTCATCACAAATCACTGACCCAGCTGTCACGTTGAAGAACTAAGAACCAGTCACTGCCATCACACATCACTGACCCAGCTCTCACGTTGAAGAACTAAGAACCACAGTCACTGCCATCACACATCACTGACCCAGCTGTCACGTTGAAGAACTAAGAACGAGAGTCACTGCCATCACAAATCACTGACCCAGCTCTCACGTTGAAGAACTAAGAACCAGAGTCACTGCCATCACACATCACTGACCCAGCTGTCACGTTGAAGAACTAAGAACCAGAGTCACTGCCATCACAATTCACTGACCCAGCTGTCACGTTGAAGAACTAAGAACCAGAGTCACTGCCATCACAAATCACTCACCCAGCTCTCACGTTGAAGAACTAAGAACCAGAGTCACTGCCATCACAAATCACTGACCCAGCTCTCACGTTGGAGAACTAAGAACCAGAGTCACTGCGATCACACATCACTGACCCAGCTCTCACGTTGAAGAACTAAGAACCAGAGTCACTGCCATCACACATCACTGACCCAGCTGTCACGTTGAAGAACTAAGAACCAGAGTCACTGCCATCACAAATCACTGACCCAGCTCTCACGTTGAAGAACTAAGAACCAGAGTCACTGCCATCACAAATCACTGACCCAGCTGTCACGTTGAAGAACTAAGAACCAGAGTCACTGCCATCACAAATCACTGACCCAGCTGTCACGTTGAAGAACTAAGAACCAGTCACTGCCATCACACAACACTGACCCAGCTGTCACGTTGAAGAACTAAGAACCAGAGTCACTGCCATCACAAATCACTGACCCAGCTCTCACGTTGAAGAACTAAGAACCAGAGTCACTGCCATCACACATCACTGACCCAGCTGTCACGTTGAAGAACTAAGAACCAGAGTCACTGCCATCACACAACACTGACCGAGCTCTCACGTTGAAGAACTAAGAACCAGAGTCACTGCCATCACAAATCACTGACCCAGCTGTCACGTTGAAGAACTAAGAACCAGAGTCACTGCCATCACACATCACTGACCCAGCTCTCACGTTGAAGAACTAAGAACCAGAGTCACTGCCATCACAAATCACTAACCCAGCTGTCACGTTGAAGAACTAAGAACCAGAGTCACTGCCATCACAAATCACTGACCCAGCTGTCACGTTGAAGAACTAAGAACCAGTCACTGCCATCACACAACACTGACCCAGCTGTCACGTTGAAGAACTAAGAACCAGAGTCATGCCATCACAAATCACTGACCGAGCTCGCACGTTGAAGAACTAAGAACCAGAGTCACTGCCATCACACATCACTGACCCAGCTGTCACGTTGAAGAACTAAGAACCAGAGTCACTGCCATCACACATCACTGACCCAGCTCTCACGTTGAAGAACTAAGAACCAGAGTCACTGCCATCACAAATCACTGACCCAGCTGTCACGTTGAAGAACTAAGAACCAGTCACTGCCATCACACAACACTGACCCAGCTGTCACGTTGAAGAACTAAGAACCAGAGTCACTGCCATCACAAATCACTGACCCAGCTCTCACGTTGAAGAACTAAGAACCAGAGTCACTGCCATCACACATCACTGACCCAGCTGTCACGTTGAAGAACTAAGAACCAGAGTCACTGCCATCACAAATCACTGACCCAGCTCTCACGTTGAAGAACTAAGAACCAGAGTCACTGCCATCACACAACACTGACCCAGCTGTCACGTTGAAGAACTAAGAACCAGAGTCACTGCCATCACAAATCACTGACCCAGCTGTCACGTTGAAGAACTAAGAACCAGTCACTGCCATCACACAACACTGACCCAGCTGTCACGTTGAAGAACTAAGAACCAGAGTCACTGCCATCACAAATCACTGACCCAGCTCTCACGTTGAAGAACTAAGAACCAGAGTCACTGCCATCACACATCACTGACCCAGCTGTCACGTTGAAGAACTAAGAACCAGAGTCACTGCCATCACAAATCACTGACCCAGCTCTCACGTTGAAGAACTAAGAACCAGAGTCACTGCCATCACAAATCACTGACCCAGCTGTCACGTTGAAGAACTAAGAACCAGTCACTGCCATCACACAACACTGACCCAGCTGTCACGTTGAAGAACTAAGAACCAGTCACTGCCATCACACATCACTGACCCAGCTCTCACGTTGATGAACTAAGAACCAGAGTCACTGTCATCACAAATCACTGACCCAGCTGTCACGTTGAAGAACTAAGAACCAGAGTCACTGCCATCACACAACACTGACCCAGCTGTCACGTTGAAGAACTAAGAACCAGAGTCACTGCCATCACACAACACTGACCCAGCTGTCACGTTGAAGAACTAAGAACCAGTCACTGCCATCACACAACACTGACCCAGCTGTCACGTTGAAGAACTAAGAACCAGAGTCACTGCCATCACAATTCACTGACCCAGCTCTCACGTTGAAGAACTAAGAACCAGAGTCACTGCCATCACACATCACTGACCCAGCTCTCACGTTGAAGAACTAAGAACCAGAGTCACTGCCATCACAAATCACTGACCCAGCTCTCACGTTGAAGAACTAAGAACCAGAGTCACTGCCATCACACATCACTGACCCAGCTGTCACGTTGAAGAACTAAGAACCAGAGTCACTGCCATCACAAATCACTGACCCAGCTCTCACGTTGAAGAACTAAGAACCAGAGTCACTGCCATCACACATCACTGACCCAGCTCTCACGTTGAAGAACTAAGAACCAGTCACTGCCATCACACATCACTGACCCAGCTGTCACGTTGAAGAACTAAGAACCAGAGTCACTGCCATCACAAATCACTGACCCAGCTGTCACGTTGAAGAACTAAGAACCAGAGTCACTGCCATCACAAATCACTGACCCAGCTGTCACGTTGAAGAACTAAGAACCAGAGTCACTGCCATTAACAAACACTGACCTAGCTCTCACGTTGAAGAACTAAGAACCAGAGTCACTGCCATTAACGTAAAACACTGATCCGCTCTCACGTTAACGAACTAAGAACCAGAGTCACGCGCCCGCGGTCGCGGCAGCTGGAGTACCAAAACTAAACCAGCAACGGCCACTGCGGAATATTCTGGAGAACCCCCGGTGAAAACCCCACCACAACGCGTGGCACTCAAAAAGGCTGCGCGCAGCAGATGAGCTTCGATAATCCACCGCCGAACTGCCCATATCCCGGCCGCCCCACGGGGCGAGACCCTCCTGGTGGCTCCACGAGGCCACGAGAGACTGGGCGCGCGCCGAGGGCAACGTTTTCGCGCGGGTTAGGGTGGTTACGGTGTTACGGTGGTACGGTGGTTAGGGTGGTTAGGGGCGGCACGCGCGTGCATGCGCGCGTACGGCGGAGGAAAGCACGTGGCCGTGACGGGGGAAGCGGCGAGGGTGGGTGAGCGACACATCGGCGTCAATGGCTACGGCTGCCCCGGGGTGGATGGGCCGAGAGGCGGGTGGGTGGTGGGCCCAAAGTGCGGGGATGCGTCCGACTCGTCCATTAGCGTCGATTGTCAAGCCCACAGACACGGACGCGCCCGAGGATCGACGCGGTTCTAAATGCGAATGCTGTACGCAATGGGTTCACGGGCCGTACGCATTTGCGTACGCATGTTGAACTTCTTTCGCACCGTACGTAGCCAATCGGAGGCGCGGGTGGGGGCGGAAGGACAACGAACCTTCGGTAAACCACTGCAGCCTGCGCTCCTTCCAACGGAGGAGGAAGAGTAAAAGCACAAGCATTAACGACCTCTCTGTCTCTCTGCGGAAGACCCCTCATGGCAGCCAGCAGGCCTCGACGTTGGCAGTCAGGCTCCTGAAGACATGGCTGCTGCCATCATGCGCAAGGCTGGAACTGAATCGAAATACGTTGACGAGAAAAACGCCATCCCGTTTTGCGTGCGAGCGCGTTGGAAAGTACCGCTGGAGGCCTGCCTCTTGAGTGTTTACAATGACGATGGGCGCTGTGGTCGCCTGGTGTACAGGAGGTCGTGGGTTCGGTCCCGACCCTGACGCCTGCTGCTGTATATTTGGAGTGTGCGTGTCTTTCTCTCTCATCATCATCATCACGGTGTCTAGATGTTAACTACCTCGCCTGGTACACAGGAGGTCGTGGGTTCGATCCCGACCCTGACGCCTGCTGCTGTATATTTGGAGTTTGCGTGTCTCTCTCTCTCTCTCCCCATTGGTGCCGTGGATTTTTCTCCGGGTCCTCCGGTTTACCCCTCCACGTTTAGAATCAACCAACGTCATGCGATCACAGTATTTGGCTGCTGCTATAAATTTCCACGTGACGATGATAAGCCACTTCGTTGAGCTATCATTTGTGATGGCCAGGTCGCTTCTGAAAACAGATTATCAGCTCAGTGGGGCATTACTTAGTAAAATAAAAAAAAACAATAGTTTCGTTGAGACTGCCATCCATCAATCACAGTGGAATGCTCTGCACCTGCCCATCGGAACGATCGCCACGACCGACGCTCAACCGGATAACGCTTAAGACCGAAACAGGATTTCTCCACAATTGTGGCTGTCACCTGATGATGCTCGTTGTAATTAATGGCGAAACGTCACGGTACTCGAATTGTAAATGTTGTGGGTTTACTCTCCAACACACAATTGGCGTGTGCTGCACTGGTAACGAATTGGCATATTCTGTGAAATGTGCAAACCTTACGAATTGGTAAGAGGTTTTTTTTTGGGTTAGATCTAACCCAAAAAATAACCTCTATTATGGTTGATATTGGTCGCGAAAGACTACGCGTTAAACTGACTAATTGGCTGTGTCGGGCGCTGGCTGGTTGAACGACACATTTTTACGCGATCAGACCCAGAAACACTCTAATATGGATATTTGCGGCGAAAGCCTTCGTGTTAAACGGATAAAGCTGCCCGTCATGTGATGGTTGTAAATCGATAAGGGATTCGATAATAATAATAATGCCGTTGCGATAACTGGTTTACGACCGCAAGCTCATGGGCATGGTGGCTGTGACTGGCTACGCACGCAAAGACACTTAGACACACACAGACACGGCACAGGAGGGGAGTGGGTGGCCAGCACCACGCTCGACCGCCTTTGTCTCCCCAGTGGCGATGTTCACACACCGCACCAGGTACTCATTTTTAGGCCGAGTCGACTGGCGTTAGCCGTGAGCGGGAATCGAACCCGGGTTACTGGGTTCGTCGCGCAGTGCGCTAACCATGTCGCCACTGCTCCCCACACAAAGACCCCCCCCCCCCCCCCGTATAGCCTTAACAAACACACAAACGCAAGTGTGTAGATATGTTATGCTCATTGATTAGATTGTACTAAAGGGTAGATGTACGCCCCCTGCACCGTCCCCGTTCGGCCGTAACGTGCACCGACGCCTACTCTATTTGAGGGCGACACTGGCACGCAAAATGAAGGATCGATCGATCGGCATGATTCGCGGCAAGCGTTGCATTGACACTGATGCGAGGCCATGGGCTTTGCGGTGTTACTTGGGCAAGCAACGCATGGAAGGTGAGGAGGGGCGGGTAAGAGGGGGGGGGGAGGGCGGTGGTGGTAGCGCTCACACACCGTACCTGCTCGCGGTGCTTCAGGTCCTGAAAAGAGAGATCGGGGACCGAGAGAGAGGGGCGGGGGACGCGGTTGAAGGGTCGGGCGAGTCAAACCGCGGACACAGCGACGACACCACCACCAACGACAAAGATCCCCCGTGTAGCCCTAACAGAACGTTGGGGCAAGTGCTGTTAGCGAGCAAGCTATGAATGCCGGCACGGTACACGAGGGGGTGGGTGTCCAGCACCACGCCCGACCGCCTTTGTCTCCCCAGTGGCGATGTTTGTTACACACCGCACCAGGTACGCATTTGAGGCCGAGTCGACCTACGGAAGGCCCGGCAACGATTCAGATATTCGTCACTGGTGTTGGTCGTGAGCGGGAATCGAACTCGGGTCACCAGGTTCGTAGCGCAGCACTAGCCGCTGCACTATCGCTCCCTACAGCGACACCACCACCACCACCAGCATCAACAGCACCAACACTGCCTGCGTGGAGGAAGTATGGTGGCCTGGGGAAGAGGCATTCATCCAGCAGTGAATTGATCATGGGTGATGAAAGGTGAGTGACTCAACACTGCCCATCTACTCAGCACTGTCCATATACGCAGCACAGACTTAACACTGCCCATAGACCCAACACTGCCCATAGACCCAACACTGCCCACAGACTCCTTAACCTTCCATTCCTCTACTACATCCTCACTTCTTCTCCATCTCGCATTCTCTTCCTCTTCCCTCGCCCCTCCACTGCATCCCGTCACTCCCCTGTCACCCTTTCATGACCCCCATGTGCCCTCTGTTACGGTCACTCGCTCCTCAGCCCTTGTAGCACTATCCTTGCCATCTAACAAACTCTCCGTGTTGTTTCTGCTTTTAAACTCATTTATTGAGCGCCATTAGCTAAGGCGCTCTGCCCTATGAATATAATAAGATAAGAATCTGCGAGTGCTGGATGGACCAATCGCCCCGACTATGTTAAGATTCTGTCAAGCGCGGCGAGGTTGGAACTGCGCGCTCCACCCCCACATACGACGGCGATCACCGGTGGTCAAAATGGAAATGTGGGAAGTCTCCGTATGGAACCCATTGGTCTCCTGCGGCCCATTTTTTGCGAACACGCTAACGGCTCTCCACACACACGACACAACAGCAGCAGCAGCCAGCGCCATCCACCACTGAAGTGGCGGTGACGTCACCACGGCGCCTGTGCCAGGCGACGTGCACTCCCGAGGCCGCTTGAAGCGTCGAAGGCTCTCCTGCTGCCAGGAGGTCATGGGACAGACCCAGCGTGCCATGGGTTGACCGAGACAACTGGCAGACGCACCACCTGTTTCCCCCCCCCCCCCCCCCCCCCGTACTGTGCCAACTTGCTGGACATCTGTGAGAAAGAGCTTCATAGCTCATCGGATACCTCCAGTATGATCACATTCCAATTCAGATTCTGTTGCATTGTAGCCATATGGCGCTCCCGCTCGTTGTTGTGAGCGTCGCTCCTCTGACCTCCGCCCTCTGAAAACCCGTACGCACACTTCCCCCTCTCTCTACACCGGATCACACTCACTGCCGTTTAACCTCTGTGGAATCATCACAGCTTAGGAATCGGGAAGCTGTCTGTTGTTAAGCGTTTGGTATTCTGAGTAGGGCCGTCGTCATATACCGGCACATTCCCACCGCTGGATACAACACAAAGCCGCCTCCTCTCTCGCACAGGTGACGCCAGTGGGTGGAAAATTACACATTTCGATGGCAGAGGGGCTCGGGACTTAAAAATGATCTCATTAACATTTCCACCAGTGACGAGGGAGACGTTTAAAATTTTAGGTCCACGCCGTAAAGAAAAGAAACGGCAAAATAAACGGAAATAAAACCCTTTACCTGTGCTCCTCTCCTCCGTCCAATTGCAAATAGCAACAAGTCCTATTGCAAACAACGTAGTAGGCTTTCGCAACCAATATTATCCATAATAAAGTTTTTTTGGGGGGTTTTAGCGAGTAAATATAAATGTGTCGTGAAACCCGCCACCACCCGACACAGCCAATTGGTAAGAAACGTCACGGCTACTCGAGTTGTAAACGATGTTGTGGGTTTACTCTCCAACACACAACAACCGGTTAGTTCTGAACTAGTTACCTAATTTGGCACGATTTTGATTTAAAGCTTTCGTGACTGCAGGGATTCATATTCTTGGTTCTTTCGGTAAAGTCACGTAGAAGGGAAACAATAAAATAATAAAAATATAAAAAATACAATTATCACGACGTTTCGACTGCACCTGATGATGATTGCTTGTGTTGCAGTCGAAACGTCGTGAGAATTTTATTGTTTTATATTTGTATTATTTCCCTTATACGTGACTTTACCGAAAGAACCAAGAATATAATTTGGCACGTTTTGTTTACGTGACAAAGCTTACCGATTGGCTGCGTCTGGTGGTGGCGGTTTTAACGACCGCACATTTACATTTTACGTGACCTAACCCAAAAACCAAACGTTGTCACGGATATTTATTGGACCTTAATCTCGAGTGGCTTTAGCGCACGCTTGCACGCGCTCAGTCGCGCAGAGACGAACAAAGAAAAGTGAGGAATTGAGGGTCGAGGGGTAGAAATCAAATTGGCAAGGGCCAAGCAACTTAAAAGTGCCAGCCTCCAAGAGCCACCTTCTCCTGCGCACGCTCCGTGACCCTGCGGGAATCCGCTATTCCACTCTCGTACACGATGGTGGTGGCAGCAGCTCTGATTGTGTGTACGTTGAACTTCTTTCACACTGTGCGCAGCCGACCGCGCCAATCGAAGGTGCGGGGGAAAGGACAACAAACTAAAAAACAAAGAGCAGTTCTAAAGAAATGAGTTTTCCCCAATCGAGATAATTAAAAAGTGCAACACAGCTCCCAGAGGCTTCCTAATATCGGCATGAAGAGCGCCTTCCAGACGGCCGCTGGAGCGCATCTGAAAGCGCCGGGCGAAGCGGTCAACCGTCTCTGTTCGATGGGTCGACAAAAGCTGTTGCTGCTGCTGCTGCTGCCGCGAGGATGACCGGAGTTTGAGTGATGATGGTTCCCTGGCTCCAACGTCGAGGCCCTGCTGCTTGCCGCTGCCGCTGCTGCTGCTGCTGCAGCTGCCACGGCCAGGGGGCTTCAGCAGAGAGAGAATGTGGTGCTGCTGTAATTAGGGGTAAATCGTAATCATATATTTTATTTACTTATTTTTAGTGACTTGCTTACCTTTGCTCTGCTATCAGTTTTGGCATGGTTTGTTGTAACTTTCTGACTCGCCACCACTGCACAAGAGCTCGATACATCTTCTTTGGTTCTTTCGGTAAAGTCACGTAGAATGAGAATAAAATAATAAATTGATAAAATAACACAATAATATTCTCACGACGTTTCGGCCACAACACAAGCGGCCTTCATCAGGTGAAGGGGGCGAGACTGTCTGGTAGGACAGCGCTGGATAGTTCACCAGTTCACCAGATTCCTCCAGTCTAAATAAAGACTGATTGTGATGGCAACCGTCGAGATCCAACTGCTGCTCCTGCTGGCCATGACAAGCGGGCTTCAACAGTGAGAGGTTTGTGTCGTTTTCCTATTTCTCCTCCACTACGGGTGTCCTGGTGGAAATGGATGTTAACTCCCTCGCCCGGTACGCAGGAGGTCGTGGGCTCGATCCCCACCCTGACGCCCGCTGCTGTATATTTGGAGTCGGCGCGTCTCTCTCTCACCCCCGTGGTCGCGTGGATATTTCTCCGGGTCCTCCAGCTCATCCCTCCACATTTAGAATTGACACCGCGCGTCCAGCGAGCATGCGGCCGCTCTACCTTGAGCTACCACTTGCGGCCACCAGCTCGCTTCTGAAAAAGAGCTACAGAGCCTTACCCGGCACAATAAAAGTTCGCGGAAGGAGCGGGGGGGGGGGGCGCGCCACGCCAGCGCTTAAACGTCAAGAACGAGAACAAGAGGAGGCCCCACGCCCCCCCACGCCCTCCCCAACTTCCCGGCGGCCCGTCGCCGCGGGCTGACCTGGATGACGGCCTCCATCATGGCGACCGTGCGGTTGACGAGCGCCACGGTGCGCCGGAGACGCTCGTCCTCGCCGGCGGCGTTGGGGCTGCCGAGGGTGCGGCGTGCCGCCAGGTAGAGCGCGTAGGTGGGCGAGAGCTTGAAGTGCGCCGTGGTGCTGTTGGTGTAGTTCACCACGCCCGCCAGGAAGGCCTCCTCCGCTGTCGTCCGTCGTGGGGGTGGGCGTTGTGGGGTAGGGGAAGGGTGGGGGGTGGGGGAGCAACGACGACACGACGGGGGGGGGGGGGGGGAGGGGGGGGTGCGTCGATTAACATGTGTGGCGCAGGCGGTGGCAGCGGTGGTGGCAGCAGTGGTGGTGGTTGTGGAGGCAGCGGTGGTGGAGGTTGTGGCAGTGGTGGTGGTGGCAGCGGTGGTGGTGGCAGCAGTGGTGGTGGTTCTGGCAGTGGAGGCAGCGGTGGTGGTGGCAGCGTCGTGATGGTGGAGACAGCGGTGGTGGTGGCATCAACAGTGGTGGTGGCAGCAGCAGTGGTGGTGGTTGTGGCAGCGGTGGTGGTGGTGGCAGCGGTGGTGGTGGTGGCAGCGGTGTGGTGGTGGTGGCAGCGGTGGTGGTGGCAGCTGTGTGGCGGTGGTGGTGGCAGTGATGGTGGTGGCAGCGGTGGTGGTGGCAGCGGTGGTGGTGGTGGTGAAGCTCTCGCAGCAAGAAGAGCCCGGGTTCGAATCCTGGCTCAGGATGCCTCTAAGTAACCAGCTGCATGCAACTACACACCCTGGCAACCTTACCAGGCAATCTCACGTTTAGCCGCGATGAGGGAGTTAGGATCTAAAAAGTGCATAGCCCCAGTGGCTTATAATATAAGAGCGTTCCAGACGGCCGCAGTTTGCGTGCGATGCGGTGACACGGCCACCGTAGTTGACTCGCTCACCTCCTTCTCTCAGCTCCAGCGTGGCCGGCAGATCAATGATTTGAGACGGCTTTTCGTGTCCGCTGCACGCACCAGAACACACGCCAACCACAGTCACACCAGCGACACAAACTTACAACACAATTAACTCGGACACCATCCTCACCGCCGAACTCGGCACCCGGGAGGTCGCTGGTTCGACTCCCATCTCCCGGTGCAAGTGTCAATGTGGGCGCGTTCGTGCCTGGCCTTCGTTGGGTGCGCTACTCGCCAATGGCACTTTTCACCCCCAACAATTTGTGAATGGTCATATGTGGGATCTGTGTCTTGATGGTGTATGCGCGAATGCGTTCGTGTGCGCGGATGCCTGTTTTTTTACGTACATTTGAGTGTGTGAGTGAGCAACGGTTAGCGCGCTGCGCTACAGAACCCTGCAAACCGAGTTCGATTCCTGCTTACGGCCACCAACACCGGTGACAATTATCGGAACCGGTCCTGGGCCTCCCCGAGGTTGACTCGGCCTCAAATGAGAAACATCGACACGAGGGAGACAAAGGCGGCCGTGCGTGGTGCTTGCCACCCACACCCTTCCTTGTGTCGTGCCGGCCTTCATAGGTGCTGCTCGCTAACAGCACTTGCCCCAACAGTCTGTTAAGGCTACACGGGGGACCTTTGTCCGTGTGCTTCTCCAAAGGGCTCTTACCGTAACTCTGACTTGGTAAATTCCACTCTGTCCGGTCGCATCACAGACCTCCCATCAGCCTGACGCTGCAACAAAGACATGCACACACACGCACACAATTAATTGTGCAGATGTTATATTAATAAAAGGGTTTTTCCCCTTTTTTCTGCCAACAAAACTGAAACCTTTTACAAGGAAACACGTGTGCATTAACCACAATACTTGTGGTCAAAATGCAAACAAAAAACACACTATGATAATATCTGTGGCATTGTCCTTGAAACTGATTGGTCCACACCAGGGACGCCTTTCTTTTGAGCCTCGACCCAATTGGTGCAGGACCAGATGGCGCCAAAAGACGTACAGCTCAAAGACAATGCCACTATCAAAGTAATGAGGGCTCGGGCTAAGCATCTACATCATTAGACCTCCTTTGCCAGTACCAAAATATAATAGATATCAGTTTTGTTGCCAAAAAAAAGGGGAAAAACCCTATTATTATATTTTGGTACTGGCAAAGGAGGTCTAATGATGTGCACATGTTGTTATCATTATCATTTTAACTTCGAAAATTCCGACAGTTTACCCAAGGAAAGCCTCACCGAGTCCGAATATTTTTTTACGTTTTACCAGAAGGGTCTTGCCACGTCCTGGAGGCAGCGCGGGGCCAAGTCACGACTTTGTGCAATCCACATTTGGCGGTAACTTTCCAGCAGAGGGATATTTGGCCCACCAGCAGTCGCACCGTATTTAAACTTTTTTGTTTGTTTGTTAATCAATACAAGTAATCCGGTTGAACACCCTGGGAGGGGGAGCCGGTGCAGAACCGGCGGAGAGAATAGAAACTCCACCGGGCAAGTGGCGCTCGAGTCGGGCATCAAACCCAGGGGGGGGGGGGGGGCCTTCTCGCCTGCGAGGCGCGAGTATCGCCACAGCTCCACCACGCTGCGCGTACGAACCCGGCAACCCAACTCCGGTTCCCGCATTCGGCCACCAACGCCGGTGACGATTAGTTGATCCTGCGATCCCGTCCTGGGCCTCCCCTATGTCGACACAGTACCCCGGTGCGGTGCGTAAAACATCGCCACTGGGGGAGACAAAGGCGGCCGGGCTCGGTGCTGGCCACCCGCCCCCTCGTGTGCCGTGCCGGCCTTCACAGCTGCTCGCTAACGGCACTTGCCCCCACAGTCTGTTACAGGCTACACGGGGGACCTTCGTCTGTGTGCGCGCGCGCGCACGTGCACCCACCTTGGCGTGAGCGTCCGAGTTGCTGTGGACGTCTCCGTCGAGCTCAAACGTTGTCTCGTGGGGCACGGGCACGGAGCCACCACTGGCGCCCACAGTGGGGGAGACACACACACACAGACACACAAAGTCATTCACATGAACACAAAGACAAATATACCCCGCGTAGCCTTTAACACACTGTAGGGGCAAGTGCTGTTAAGCGAGCGCCGATGGAGGCCGGAATGGTACACGAGGCGGTGGGTGGCCAGGACCACGCCCGGATGCTTTGTTTCCCTAGTGGCTACATCACACCAGGTACTCATTTGGCACCGAGTCGACCGAGGGTAGGCCTAGGACAGGTTCAAACATTCATCAATGGTGCTAGCCATGAGCAGGAATCGAACTCAGGTGGCTGGGTTCATACCGCAGCACGTTTACCTCGACACGACCGCTCCCCACATATTTCCACATAGACAACGATCCCCCATGTAGCCTTAACAGACTGTAGGGGCAAGTGCTGTTAGCGAGCACCTATGAAGGCCGGCACGGCACACGAGGGGGTGGGTGGACAACACCACGCCCGGCCGCCTTTGTCTCCCCAGTGACGATGTTTTTACACATCGCACCAGGTACTCATTTGAAGCTGAGTTGACCTAGGGGAGGCCCGGGACCGGTTCAGATAATCGTCACTGGTGTTGGCCGTGAGCGGGAATCGAAATCGGGTCGTTGGGTTCCTAGCGCAGCGTAGCGCTAACCACTACACTACCGCTCCCCACTACACATAGACACACACACACACAGTCAGACACCACACAGTCATTCATACACACAGACACGATTTTTTTCTGCAGTCACCAATGCACTGCACCTATGAACCTGGTTTAAATCACAGGCAGTGACTGAAACAAATACAGTAAAACCTTGGATTGCGAGTAACTTGGTCTGCGGGAGTGAGGTCTTGCAATACGAGCAGTACGTACAAGTATACGCTTTGTCTGCCGAGCGTCACGTGATCACAACTGAGCCGATGGTTCTTCTCCCTCTCTCGCTGCGGGATTGTGGGTAATCGTCTCCCATGCTCGGTCTCAGTCGGCATGCCTCACTCGTATAGTCAACATCCGTGCAAGCGTATACTGTTTACTATAGTACTTTAGTGTTGTGACCACGTGTATACTGTTTACTATAGTACTATAGTGTTGTGACCACGTGTGCACTGTTTACTACAGTACTGTAGTGTTGTGACCACGTGTATACTGTTTACTACAGTACTATAGTGTTGTGACCACGTGTATACTGTTTACTACAGTACTATAGTGTTGTGACCACGTGTATACTGTTTACTATAGTACTATAGTGTTGTGACCACGTGTATACTGTTTACTATAGTGTTGTGACCACGTGTGTGTGCGTAAAGCATTTTTTTTATTTTGTGTCCAAGACGAAGTGAGTGCTCTTTAGTAACTGTACTGCAACAATGGCCCCTCCTCCTCTCCTCTGTCTCGTCTCCCTCACACCAGCCACGATTAAATTTAATTAATTAATTTGATTACTTTATATCAAATAATAAAAATATAAAAAGGTATTTTGTATTAATCAATTTTACATTAATATTTTTGGGTTGTGTAACGAATCATCCGAGTTTCCATTATTCATTATGGGGAAATTCGCTTTGATATACGAGTGCTTTGGATTACAAACACGTTTCCGGAACGAATTATGCTCGCAATCCAAGGTGTTACTGTACTCTCACCCAAAACCTCAGGCAAAGGCGGGCGGCCGGGGTAATGGCCACATCACCCCCTCATGTGCTGTGCCGGCCTTCATAAGTTGGCTCCTAATAGCCACCGTTTTTTTTTTACTTACCAGGCAAGGCCTACAGAGAGCTGGCTTTCACAAATGATAGCTCTAAGAAGCGGCTTATCATCGTGTGGACATTATAGCAGTAGCCAAATACTCTAAACGCATGTTGGTTGATTAATGGTCAAGGGAAAAACCGGAGGGCCCCGAGTGAAATCCACGCAACTGCGGAGAGAGAGACACGCAAACTCCAAATATACAGCAGGCGTCAGGGTCGGGATTGAACCCAAGCTGCGTGAGCCAACGATCGAAGGCCGACCACGACAAATAAAATTAACTATTTTTTTTATTTAAAGCTTTCGTGACTGCAGGGATTCATATTCTTGGTTTTTTCGGTAAAGTCACGTAGGAGTGAAACAATAAAATAATAAAAATATAAAACAATAAAATTCCCACGACGTTTCGACTGCAACACAAGCAATCATCATCAGGTGTGAAAACCACAGCAAGAAAATTTGAAAAAAGTGGCGGTTTTTTTAACGTTAGCACCACGGAGAGCGATTTGGCAGTTATTCAGATGGACGAGTCCATCTATGTTCGGAAAAGAGGAGGGGGGAAGCGGTCTGAAAGCCACCGTAAGCGTGAACAATCAATTAAGACCCGAACTGGTTAATCAAATCCTTCCAATGATTGCTAAGCCAGAATCCATCTTCTCGGTTGAAATTGTCTCTGTTTGTATATGTGGATAGCCTCATGAACGAATCTCTCATGGTAGCCAGATGGCTTGCAAAGAACCTCTGTCTTGGAAAAGTCAATGTCATGTGAGCCTACTGAATTATGTTTTATTGTTTCCCTTCTACGTGACTTTACCAAAAGAACCAAGAATATAAACTATTTATTATCTTCCCAGGTAAAGAGGGGCCCCCCGACTGACCTACCATGTAGCTCTTTTCCACAAGCGACCCAGGCCACCACATACTGCAGCGGCTCAACCAAGTGACGGCTCATCACGGCGACACGGTGGGGGGGTTATCACGGAGGGCCTCACCCCACAGCGGCGGCGCGCGCCGGCTCCGTCTCCCCCTCGGCCGCCCGGCGGACACCGCCGGCGGAGGAGACCCCGGGCGGCTCGTGCCCGGGGTCCACGAACTTGAAGACGCTGGCGCGGCCGAAGCGCAGGGTGCTGCCGCTGCGCAACATGGTGGTCTCCGAGATGCGGCGTCCCTGCACGAAGGTGTCGGCCTCCACGCTGCTCGGCGTCACCGTCACCACGCCCTCCATGTTGGTGACCACGCAGTGCTGCGGCTGGATGCCGGCGCCAAACAGCTGCGCGGCGGGCGGGCGGGCGGGCGGGCGGGCGTGAGGGTGGGCGTGAAGGTTGGTTGGCGAGCGGGTGGCGCGCGTGGTGGGTTGGAATCAAAACGCCGCGCGGCGCGGTCACGGTAGCGGCAATCGGGGCCACGCCTCACGCGCCCGCCAGCCACAGCCCCATTCACGACGGCGTACGGACGTGTGTACGAACTTTCCTTCGACACCGTGTGTGGCCAACCGCGCTAATCGCAAGCCGCGAATGCATTTTTTAAAACGGTGTTTTAAAAATTTAGGAAGCCACTGGGAGCTATGCACTTTTCAATCATCTAGAATGAAAACTCATTTATTTAGAACTACTTTTCGTGTTTAGTTTGCTGTCCTTCTCCCCTAACCGCCAACTAGCACGGCTGTCTACGTACAGTGTGAAAGAAGTTCAACATAGACGCACGTCTGTGTGAACCACCCTGTTACTCCACGTGTGCGCGCGTTATCGGGAGTGGAAGTGTAGCGGTCAGCGCCGCTGCGCTAGGAAACCAGCGGCCCGAGTTTGATTCCCACTCACTGCCAACACCACTGACGATTATCTGAACCGGTCGTGGGCCTCCCTTAGGTCGACAAAGCCTCCAATGGGTACCTGGTGCGATGTGTAAAGGCATCGCCACGACAAAGGCGGACGTGCGCGGTGTTGGCCACTCCACCCCCTCGTGTGCCGTGCCGGCCTTCATAGGTGCTCGCTAACACAGCACTTGCCCCTACAGTCTGTTAAAGCTACACGGGGGGAATCTTTGTTCTTGTTCAACACTAAACGGGCGTGAACACGGCCCTACACAAGAGATGGGCTGACGTGGTCCAGAAGGATGTGGAGCCGAGCGGACTGCGCCGCTGACCGGCAGCGGGCTGCGTGTGTGCGACGATCGGCCTCAACAAACGCACAAGCACGCAGAGAACGGCGGCAGTAGAGGGGGGCGGGCGGGTGGGTTGGTTGGTTGGTTGGTGGGCGGGTGGCGCGGTGGGGCAAGTGCTAACAGAACTTACGTACAGGCAGCGGTACGGATGGGGTTGGGGGGGGGGTGCCCAGAGCAAACAACGAACGGGGGGGGAAAAAATAAACCCGTGACGACCTCGGAAGGGACCCCCTTCCCCCGCACGTGCGTCGCGAGCCCCTCTCACCTGGATGAACTGCGGCGACGACGTGTCGCTCCCCACCTCCGTCACGTTGAGCTGCAGCCGGTACATCTTGGGCTTGTCCCGCGAGTCCGAGCCGTCTGCACGCGGCACACGGTGGCGAGATGCTTAACGCCTCGCCTGGCACGCAGGAGGTCGTGGGTTCAGGATCAGAATCTCTTATTTATACTGGAGGGAATCCGATGAGATGCAAAGCTCTTTTTTTTTCCACAGATGTCCAGCAAAGGGGCACGGGGTAAGAACGTTACAACAACATAGAGTAGAAAAACACGACAGTAATGCAAAGTACTAAAAAGGTTAACAAATCACCCAAACACATACAAATAAAACTAAACAATTCCCATCCCACCAGGCAAAGCCCAATGAGACATTCACTTATTTTTCAAAAGCGACCTGTGCCACAAATGACGTGCCTCTCTCACCCTCTCTCTCTGCGGTCGTGTGGATTTTTCTCAGGGTCCGAAGTATAGGCAAGGTAAGAAAAAGATATCGACGTTAAAGCCCATGGAGCTAAAAGGGCTTGGGTTCGATCCCGACCCTTTTTATGCCTGTATGTTTGGAGTTTGCATGTTCTCTCCGTGGTCGCATGGAATTTTCCCTGGGTCTTCCGGTTTTCTCCACCCACATTTAGAATCAACATCGCACGTTCAACAGCATTTGACTGCTGCTATAGATTTCCACGCGATGGTGAGCCCATTTCGTTAAGCTATCTCATTTGTGGTAGCCAGGTCAGCTTCTGAAAAAGAGCGACATAGCTCAGTGGGCTTTACCTGGTGGGGGGATGGGGGGGTAGGTGGGGCAAGCACCGAGCGTCATACCACACGGAACGTCAATGCCCCGCGCATCAACGTACCCGGCCCCACGCTGACCGTGAGAGGCTGTGTGAGATGCAAGGTTTGTTTATTATTTCGATGGCTGACTTCCCGGGAACACCCTGAACAAATGAGACGTTCCACCTCAAGGGATCACGTCGGGGTTTAAAAAAAAAGAAGAGCACGCAAACGCCGACGGCGAGCGTGCGGGAAGCGAAACGGACGGCAGAGTCACGGGAGCGATCGGGTGGTGAAATGTGGTGGTGGGGCTCATTTCAGCATCGGAGAGAGCATGGCTGACGAGGGCAATGTCTGGACATAGGGGGGCTGCCCCGCAGGCGCCTTTACCTGGAGTCCTGTAAGAGCGGTGGCTGTGGCGACCGCCTGCCGTGTCCAGCAGCAGCGGCAGCAGAAAGATTAATGAGAGGACACGAAGAGGACAGCAGGCGACACGAGAGACGAGAGATACGAAAGAGCCGCGGGGGGGACGTCACGCGCAGCGCGGAGGTGGAGTGCGCGAAGCGGGGAACGGACACCCGTCGTGATCGGCATGCGCGCAAGACGCGCACACACACGCGCAACGTGCAAGACGCACACACTACAGACAAGGCACACATACATAATTGTGCACGATGTACACGACGCACACACGGACAAGACGCACACACACACACACAACGGACAAGACGCACACCACCGACACGACGCACACACACGTCGCATCGCACAACTCGCACACCCGATACCAAACACACGCTTCACACGTCAAAACACGCAGTCAAGAGACGTGGCTTTCAAGCGGGCGACAGTTGCCATTAAAATCGAGAAACTGAAATTATCAGACGAGCCACAGGGTGGCGGTGAAGGCCAATCCCCTACCACATCACGAGCCTCTTCATCCGCACGGCGGCTGATGTAGATGCACCCCTGACTAGCACGGTCGGCTACGTACGGTGCGAAGGAAGTTAAACATTTGTGGATCTGGGGGAATTGCGTTGTTATCCGTCGTACTGTGGTCCTGTTCTTGATGATCCACGGTCTCGCGCTACTACTGGAGAGTTTTTAATTTTCCATTTGTGCATCAGGTAGCCGCATCTGCAGCCATGGTGTGTGCAGTGGATCGCAGTTTAGGGTGGGCCATGATCTTCGTGGAAGTCACAACTATTTAAACTATAAACTATTTTGTAATTAAACATTTTTTAAATTATTTTACCAATTAAGGCCCCACTGAGCTATATAGCTCTTTTTTTTTTTACAGGAGTGAACCGGCCACAAATGATAGCTCAACGAAGTAGCTTGTCGCGTGGAATTTATAGCAGCCAAATTTTCATGAACAGATGTTGATTCTAAATGTGAAGGGAAAAACCCAGAGGACCCACAGAAAAATCCACGCGACCACGGGGAGAACATACAAACTCCAAATATACAGCAGCAGGCGTCAAGGGTCGGGGTTGAACCCACGATCTCCTGTATACCAGGCGAGGTAGTTAACATCTTGCCACCACACACGCCAACACAGAAGTCGCAAGACAAGACGCGGTACAAATGTCAGTTCGCAACAAAGCACATCACGTACAATACAAATGTCATGAAACTGCACGATACACACACGCCGTGCACAACACCGCATTACAAATATCACACGATAAGACCGCGGAACATTACACAAACCAACGTAACGCTCGCACACACAGAGACAAGCACACAACGAACATTTTGCAGGCTCGTTACGTCCCGACGCGCGGGCTCGCGAACGCACATGCAACGCACATGCAACGCACATGCAACGCACATGCAACGTACACCGTGCACAGGGACATCGGGAGGCGCGCGGACGCTCACAACGATTGCGCACGCCACAAGTCGTCGCGCGAAGGGGGCAGCTCCCATTAAGGCGTCGTTAGGCTACTAACGGCGCATCCCATCGAGGCAAACCCCCCCCCCCCCCCCCCCCCCCCGAGACGCAAGCAAACAAAGCGGAGAGACAAACGAGCGGCGTGCGTCCCTCTCCTGTTACACAGGAAAGGGGCGCACGGATTGACAGCGAGTCCTCGTTCCAACGCGCTGGCAGGTACGTGAATGCGGTCCTGAACGGTGTCGCGTGAAGCGAAAACGTTTTCCCCCAATTAATCATGTGACGATAAAGTTTGGCGAGATAGGATGCACTGCCACGCTACACGCAGGGTAAAATGCAAATACACTTAGCGGGCGGCAGGGTCGGGACCAAACCCACGACCCTCCTGCATACCAGGCGAAGGAGATAACATCTCCTTTGCCACCGGTCGAGACTAACGAGGGAGAGATCGTACACGACAGAGAGACGAAGCGATGACATTAGCTCGTGTGAAGCAGTTGATGTTGTTGCTTTGGTGGCGAACCTAACCGAGTCATTCGCGGTGGGTAGTTTGTCGAATTTGGACAGTGACGCTCGCACGGAAACGCCCCACTTTGTCTGTCTGGTGTTTATCAGGGTGGCCCCCCCCCGTGGTAACGTATAAACATCGCCACGAGGGAGACAAAGGCGGACCGGGCGTGCTGCTGACCACCCGCCCCCTCGTGAGCCGCGCCGGTCTTCACAGAGGCTATACACGGGGGAACTTTTGTCTCCGTCTGTTATTTACCAGGGTGCATTAAGCAGGGTGCCACCCTGCTTAATGCCGCTCGGTGAGGGCAAGGGGGGGGGGTGAGACAAAAAGAGGGCTGCCATTTGTTGTGTGCCGAGGTCCGTGAAGGTTCGGCGGGGGGGAGGGGTGGGGGGGCACGTGATCTCAGCGCCCAAATCCCCCTCCACCTCCAGTGGGAGCTGCCAGGAAACGGGTGAATTGTAGGAAACAGATTTTCTTTGCTGGGAAAACGGCGAGCGCCCGGGCCCCCGGCGTCTCACGGCGGCGCCGGCTCCTGTCGAGCTCCTCCCAGCAAGCGCAAACACAAGAGTGCTGGCGTGCGTGCGTACGTGTGTACGTGTGTACGTGCGTGCGTACGTGCGTACGTGTGTACGTGTGTACGTGCGTACGTGCGTACGTGCGTACGTGCGTACGTGTGTACGTGTGTACGTGCGTACGTGCGTACGTGCGTACGTGCGTACGTGCGTACGTGCGTACGTGCGTACGTGTGTACGTGCGTACGTGTGTACGTGCGTACGTGTGTACGTGCGTGCACCCGGTGTGCTGCGTTTAAAAACATCGCCGCTGGGGAGACAAAGGCGGTCGGGCGTGCTGTTGGCTACCCACCCCCCACCCCACCCTCGTGTGCAGTGCCGTGCCGGCCTTCATAGGTGCTCGCCATCAGAACTTGCCTCAACAGTCTGTTAAGGCTATATGGGGGATTTTTGTCTTTGTGTGTGAGTGTACATGGCGGTGGAGCGGTCAGTGCGCTGCGTTACGAACCCAAAGTTCGATTCGCGCCCACGGCCAACACCAGTGACGGTTATATTTGAACCAGTCCCGGGCCTCCCCTAGGTCGACTCAGCCTCAAACGAGTACCTGGTACCGATGCGTAAATATCGCTAGGGGAGAGACAAAAGCAGGCTGGGCGTGGAGCTGGCCGCCCACCCCCCTCGCGTGCCGTGCCGGCCCTCATAGGTGCTTATAGACGCTACCCAGGCGCGTCGCGTCTGACGTGTTATCGTGGACCGTGCTTCACCCTACATTATACATTATTTATTACAAAGCGACTGTTCTTCCGGAACGCAACTACCGCCGCGTTGTAGGAGAACAGGCCGTACTGCCTATCCACCCCCACGCCACCAGTCCCCCACCCACCCCCCCCGTCGCCCGAGCCCTTCCCACCGCCACCCCACCCGGCCGTACCTGGGCCAAGCTCCACAAGTTAGGGGAGCCCCGGAAGGGACCTGGCTATCACAAACGGCGGCAGCCCGACGAAGTGGCGTTTCATCATCTTCATCGTCGGCGTCGTCGCGTGCAAATTTATAGCGGCGGCCAAATAGACTCTAAACACGCACGTCGATATCGAAAACGCGGAGGGGGGGGGGGGGGGGAGGGGAGAAATCATCGACGATGATTCCAAGACAGCTGGCCCAGCCCTCGTCCTGCCTCTCCAAACCCCCACCCCACCAGTCCACCCGCCCCCCCCCCCCCCGTTACACCCCCCATACACTCCGGCCTGCTTCGGCCGGCCGTACCTGGGCTGAGCTCCACGAGGTAGGGGAGCCTGTCGGGTGGCGGTGCCGCTCCGTACGCGTCGTGCCCAGAGCCGGCGTCGGCCCCGGGGGCTGCGTCGCCGCCGCCGCCGCGCCGGCGCTCCTCCTGCCCCTCCCCGGCACCCTTGCCCACCGCCTTGTGCTGCTGCTGCTGCTGCTTCTTCCGCCGCGCCGCCACGTCCTCCTTCTTGCGCAGCTGGAAGACCAGCACGCCTGCTCTCGCCGCACGAGCACCCACGCAAGCACACGCCGGTTATTGAGGAGGTGGAGGTGGTGGTGCTGCTGCTGTTGAAGGTGGTCGTGATGGTGGTGTTGAAGGTGGTCCTGGTCGGGGTGGTGGTGTTGAAGGTGGTTGTGGCAGTCGTGGTGGTGGTGTTGAAAATGGTCGTGGTGGAGGTGGTCGAGGTGGTGGTGTTGAAGGTGGGAAGGTGGTGGTGGTGTTGAAGGTGGTCGAGGTGGTGGTGGTGTTGAAGGTGGTCGTGGTCGAGGTGGTGGTGGTGGTGTTGAAGGTGGTCGTGGTCGAGGTGGTGGTGGTGGTGTTGAAGGTGGTCATGGTCGAGGTGGTGTTGAAGGTGGTCGTGGTGGTGGTGGTGGTGTTGAAGGTGGTCGAGGTGGTGGTGGTGTTGAAGGTGGTCGTGGTCGAGGTGGTGCTGGTGTTGAAGGTGGTCGTGGTGGTGTTGAAGGTGGGAAGGTGGTCGTGGTCGAGGTGGTGGTGGTGGTGGTGTTGAAGGTGGTCGTGGTCGAGGTGGTGGTGGTGGTGTTGAAGGTGGTCGTGGTCGAGGTGGTGGTGGTGGTGTTGAAGGTGGTCATGGTCGAGGTGGTGTTGAAGGTGGTCGTGGTGGTGGTGGTGGTGTTGAAGGTGGTCGAGGTGGTGGTGGTGTTGAAGGTGGTCGTGGTCGAGGTGGTGCTGGTGTTGAAGGTGGTCGTGGTGGTGTTGAAGGTGGGAAGGTGGTCGTGGTCGAGGTGGTGGTGGTGGTGGTGTTGAAGGTGGTCGTGGTCGAGGTGGTGGTGATGGTGGTGTTGAAGGTGGTCCTGGTCGGGGTGGTGTTGTTGAAGGTGGTTGTGGCAGTCGTGGTGGTGGTGTTGAAAATGGTCGTGGTGGAGGTGGTGGTGCTCGTGGCCGAGGTGGTGGTGGTGGTGTTGAAGGTGGGAAGGTGGTGATGGTGTTGAAGGTGGTCGTGGTCGAAGTGGTGGTGGTGTTGAAGGTGGTCGTGGTCAAGGTGGTGGTGGTGTTGAAGGTGATCGTGGTGGTGGTGGTGTTGAAGGTGGTCGTAGTGGTGGTGGTGTTAAAGGTGGTTGTGTTGAAGGTGGGAAGGTGGTCGTGGTCGAGGTGGTCGTGGTGTTGAAGGTGGTCATGGTCGAGGTGGTGGTGGTGTTGAAGGTGGTCGTGGTGGTGGTGGTATTGAAGGTGGTCGTGGTGGTGGTGTTGAAGGTGGGAAGGTGGTCATGGTCGAGGTGGTGTTGAAGGTGGTTGTGGTGGCGGAGCTCGTGGTCGAGGTGGTGTTGAAGGTGGTTGCGGTCAAGGTAGTGATGGTGGTAATTGTGGTGTTAGCGATGATGAACACCATGAAAAGGAGGTGATGGCGGCAAGGTGTTAACTCCCTTGCCTGGGTTACCAGAAGGCCGTGGGTTCGATCCCTTCCCCAATGCCTGCTGTATATTTGGAGTTTGCGTGTCTCTCTCTCTCTTTCCCCCGAGGTCACGTAGAACTTTTCTCCAGGTCCTCCGGTGTTTCCCTCCAACATTTATAATCAACATCACGCGCTCATAGCATTTGTCTACCGCTTTAAATTTCCACGTGGCGATAACGACGAGCCACATCTTTGGCTCATCGTCGTCGGCGCGTCAATAATAATAATAATAATTAAAAAAAGAGCTGTGAATGGGCTTCACTCGGGGGGGGGGAAACAAAACTTCTGAAACCACTGAACCCGAGCACGCCGTTCCTCGCGGCCTCACCGTCCTCCGCAGGCCACTCCACCAGGATGTTGAGGGGGCAGTCCTGGTCGTCGAGCGCCGTTTCCAGGCCCTCACGTCGCACCGCCTCCTCCATCATGTCGCTATCGGGCGGCAGCACCAGCTGCAGCAGCGGTGGACCAACGGGGAAAAGGAAAAAAAATTAATACAAACGACAACAACAAAGTTCGGGCGGTCCCGTACCCAACGGGCTCTCGCCGACGCCGGCAACAAACGGGCGACACAAAAGCACCGGCGAGCGAACGTGGGCAAGCACCTGTTGCGCGTCAGAATCGCAACGTTCTGTTTGGACTGGAGGAGGAAGCCGATGGAGCTATGAAGCTCTTTTTTTGCATGGGGGGGTGGAGGGGGGGGGAGTGGGGGGGGGAGGGTGTCAGAACGTTACGACAACAAAAAAATACAAAAACACGGTACGGGTGCAAAGTATAGGAAAGGTAAAGGAATCGCTTACAATAATATATATAGATAAAACTACACAGGTAAAACTTTTTTCGCACCGTATGTAGCCAACCGCGCTAAATCAGAGACGCGGGGGGGGGGGGGGGAGGTGGAAGGACATTTTGGCGCGCAACGTGGGCCGCTGAGGCTGCTGGGGCCCGCCGGGGGCTGCTGAAAATTACTGGGGGCCGCTGAGGGCCGCTGAGAACCACTCACCCTGGCCAGGCAGTAGTTGGCGGGGTCTTCCCGCTCCAGGCCGTACTTATCCAGCACCTCGCGCACCACAAACTCGGCGGGGTCCGACAGAGACACGAGCAGCGTCTTGTAGGGGATTGTCGGCCTGAGGCTGTCGGCAAACACCCGCAGCATCCCGCCTGCGCACGCGCAAAGACAAAGATCCCCGCCGTATAACCTGAACAGACTGTTGGGGCAAGTGCTGTTAGTGAGTAGCAGCACCGATGAAGGCCAGCACTGGGTGTGGTCAGTACAACGCCCGGGCCCGCCTTTGTTTCCCGAGTGGCAATGTTTATATACCACACCAGGTACTCATTTGAGGCCGAGTCGACCTAGGAGGCCCACGGCCAGTTCAAATCATCATCATCACTGGTGTTAGCCGTGAGCGGAAATCGAACTCGGGCCGCCGGGTTCGTAGCGCAGCGTGCTAACAGCTACACTCCTGCTCCCGTATCCACACACACACGCAGACAACATTAACAAACAGACACACAAACACGCATATAGCTAGACAAAGAAGCGTTGCTCATGTGCTCATGCATTTCTATGTTGCAGCGTTGCTACTATGTTGATGTTTATCAAACGCTATTGCCCATGCGTTGAATTGTTGCCGCTGTGTTGCAGCCTTGCTAATGTGTTGCAGTGTTCCCAATGTCTTTGCGCATGCGTTTCTGTGTTGCAGCATTGCTATTGTGTTGCTAACACTATTGCCCGCGCTTCTAATTGTTACTACCGTGTTGCAGTGTTGCTCATGTGTAGAAGCGTTGATATTGCGTATGCATGTTGAACTTCTTCTTTGGTTCTTTCGGTAAAGTCACGTAGAATGAGAATAAAATAATAAATTGATAAAATAAAATAACACAATAATATTCTCACGACGTTTCGGCCACAACATCTGTAGTGACCTGATGAAGGCCGCTTGTGTTGTGGCCGAAACGTCGTGAGAATATTATTGTGTTATTTTATTTTATCAATTTATTATTTTATTCTCATTCTACGTGACTTTACCGAAAGAACCAAAGAAGATGAATCATTGCAGCACCGAAAGCTTTAAATCGAAATCATGTTGAACTTCTTTTCCACCGCACGTAGCCGACCGAGCTAACTGGAGGTGCGGGGGAAGGACAACAAACAACGCGACACGGCGACGTGTAGTGACGTGTACGGACGTGTCGCTGTTCGTCACTACAGACGTGTCACTACTCGTCACTAGACGTGTCACTACTCGTCACTACAGAAGTGTCACTACAGACGTGTCACTACTCGTCACTACGGACGTGTCACTACTCGTCACTACAGACGTGTCACTACTCGTCACTACAGACGTGTCACTACTCGTCACTACAGACGTGTCACTACTCGTCACTACGGACGTGTCACTACTCGTCACTACGGACGGACGTGTCACTACTCGTCACTACAGACGTGTCACTACTCGTCACTACAGACGTGTCACTACTCGTCACCACAGACGTGTCACTACTCGTCACTACAGACGTGTCACTACTCGTCACTACAGACGTGTCACTACTCGTCACCACAGACGTGTCACTACTCGTCACTACAGATGTGTCACTACTCGTCACTACAGACGTGTCACTACTCGTCACTACAGACGTGTCACTACTCGTCACTACAGACGTGTCACTACTCGTCACTACAGACGTGTCACTACTCGTCACTACAGACGTGTCACTACTCGTCACTACAGACGTGTCACTACAGACGTGTCACTACAGACGTGTCACTACTCGTCACTACAGACGTGTCACTACAGACGTGTCACTACAGACGTGTCACTACTCGTCACTACAGACGTGTCGCTACTCGTCACTACAGACGTGTCGCTACTCGTCACTACAGACGTGTCACTACTCGTCACTACAGACGTGTCGCTACTCGTCACTACAGACGTGTCGCTACTCGTCACTACAGATGTGTCACTACTCGTCACTACAGACGTGTCACTACTCGTCACTATAGACGTGTCACTACTCGTCACTACAGACGTGTCACTACTCGTCACTACAGACGTGTCACTACTCGTCACTACAGACGTGTCACTACAGACGTGTCACTACTCGTCACTACAGACGTGTCACTACTCGTCACTACAGACGTGTCACTACTCGTCACTACAGACGTGTCACTACTCGTCACTACAGACGTGTCACTACTCGTCACTACAGAAGTGTCGCTACTCGTCACTAGATGTGTCACTACTCGTCACTAGATGTGTCACTACTCGTCACTACAGACGTGTCGCTACTCGTCACTACAGACGTGTCACTACTCGTCACTAGATGTGTCACTACTCGTCACTACAGACGTGTCACTACTCGTCACCACAGACGTGTCACTACTCGTCACTACAGTGTCACTACTCGTCACTACAGACGTGTCACTACTCGTCACTACAGACGTGTCGCTACTCGTCACTACAGACGTGTCACTACAGACGTGTCACTACACGTCACTACAGACGTGTCGCTGTTCGTCATTACAGACGTGTCACTACTCGTCACTACAGACGTGTCACTACTCGTCACTAGACGTGTCACTACTCGTCACTACAGACGTGTCACTACTCGTCACTACAGAAGTGTCACTACTCGTCACTACAGACGTGTCACTACTCGTCACTACAGACGTGTCACTACTCGTCACTAGACGTGTCACTACTCGTCACTAGACGTGTCACTACTCGTCACTACAGCTGTGTCACTACTCGTCACTAGGGATGTGTCACTACTCGTCACTACAGACGTGTCACTACTCGTCACTACAGACGTGTCACTACTCGTCACTACAGACGTGTCACTACTCGTCACTACAGATGTCACTACTCGTCACTACAGACGTGTCACTACTCGTCACTACAGACATGTCACTACAGACGTGTCACTACTCGTCACTACAGACGTGTCACTACTCGTCACTACAGACGTGTCACTACTCGTTACTACAGACGTGTCACTACTCGTCACCACAGACGTGTCACTACTCGTCACTACAGACGTGTCACTACTCGTCACTACAGACGTGTCACTACTCGTCACCACAGACGTGTCACTACTCGTCACTACAGACGTGTCGCTACTCGTCACCACAGACGTGTCACTACTCGTCACTACAGACGTGTCACTACTCGTCACTACAGACGTGTCACTACTCGTCACCACAGACGTGTCACTACTCGTCACTACAGACGTGTCACTACTCGTCACTACTCGTCACTACTCGTCACTACAGACGTGTCACTACTCGTCACTAGATGTGTCACTACTCGTCACTACAGACGTGTCACTACTCGTCACTACAGACGTGTCACTACTCGTCACTACAGACGTGTCACTACTCGTCACTACAGACGTGTCACTACAGACGTGTCACTACTCGTCACTACAGATGTGTCACTACTCGTCACTACAGATGTGTCACTACTCGTCACTACAGACGTGTCACTACAGACGTGTCACTACTCGTCACTACAGATGTGTCACTACTCGTCACTAGACGTGTCACTACTCGTCACTACAGACGTGTCACTACTCGTCACTACAGACGTGTCACTACTCGTCACTAGACGTGTCACTACTCGTCACTAGATGTGTCACTACTCGTCACTACAGACGTGTCACTACTCGTCACCACAGACGTGTCACTACTCGTCACTACAGATGTGTCACTACTCGTCACCACAGACGTGTCACTACTCGTCACCACAGACGTGTCACTACTCGTCACTACAGATGTGTCACTACTCGTCACTACAGATGTGTCACTACTCGTCACCACAGACGTGTCACTACTCGTCACTACAGACGTGTCACTACAGACGTGTCACTACAGACGTGTCACTACTCGTCACTACAGACGTGTCACTACTCGTCACTACAGACGTGTCACTACTCGTCACTACAGACGTGTCACTACTCGTCACCACAGACGTGTCACTACTCGTCACTACAGACGTGTCGCTACTCGTCACTACAGACGTGTCACTACTCGTCACCACAGACGTGTCACTACTCGTCACCACAGACGTGTCGCTACTCGTCACTACAGACGTGTCACTACTCGTCACTAGACGTGTCACTACTCGTCACTACAGACGTGTCACTACTCGTCACTACAGACGTGTCACTACTCGTCACTACAGACGTGTCGCTACTCGTCACTACAGACGTGTCACTACTCGTCACTACAGAAGTGTCACTACTCGTCACTACAGACGTGTCACTACTCGTCACTACAGACGTGTCACTACTCGTCACTAGATGTGTCACTACTCGTCACTACAGACGTGTCACTACAGACGTGTCACTACAGACGTGTCACTACTCGTCACTACAGACGTGTCACTACTCGTCACTACAGACGTGTCACTACAGACGTGTCACTACTCGTCACTAGACGTGTCACTACTCGTCACTACAGTGTCACTACTCGTCACTACAGACGTGTCACTACTCGTCACTAGACGTGTCACTACTCGTCACTGGATGTGTCACTACTCGTCACTACAGACGTGTCACTACTCGTCACTACAGACGTGTCACTACTCGTCACTACAGACGTGTCACTACTCGTCACTACTCGTCACTACAGACGTGTCACTACTCGTCACTACAGACGTGTCACTACTCGTCACTACAGTGTCACTACTCGTCACTACAGACGTGTCACTACTCGTCACTACAGACGTGTCACTACTCGTCACTACAGACGTGTCACTACTCGTCACCACAGACGTGTCACTACTCGTCACTACAGACGTGTCACTACTCGTCACTACTCGTCACTACTCGTCACTACAGACGTGTCACTACTCGTCACTAGATGTGTCACTACTCGTCACTACAGACGTGTCACTACTCGTCACTACAGACGTGTCACTACTCGTCACTACAGACGTGTCACTACTCGTCACTACAGACGTGTCACTACAGACGTGTCACTACTCGTCACTACAGATGTGTCACTACTCGTCACTACAGATGTGTCACTACTCGTCACTACAGACGTGTCACTACAGACGTGTCACTACTCGTCACTACAGATGTGTCACTACTCGTCACTAGACGTGTCACTACTCGTCACTACAGACGTGTCACTACTCGTCACTACAGACGTGTCACTACTCGTCACTAGACGTGTCACTACTCGTCACTAGATGTGTCACTACTCGTCACTACAGACGTGTCACTACTCGTCACCACAGACGTGTCACTACTCGTCACTACAGACGTGTCACTACTCGTCACCACAGACGTGTCACTACTCGTCACCACAGACGTGTCACTACTCGTCACTACAGATGTGTCACTACTCGTCACTACAGATGTGTCACTACTCGTCACCACAGACGTGTCACTACTCGTCACTACAGACGTGTCACTACAGACGTGTCACTACAGACGTGTCACTACAGACGTGTCACTACAGACGTGTCACTACAGACGTGTCACTACTCGTCACTACAGACGTGTCACTACTCGTCACTACAGACGTGTCACTACTCGTCACTACAGACGTGTCACTACTCATCACCACAGACGTGTCACTACTCGTCACTACAGACGTGTCGCTACTCGTCACTACAGACGTGTCACTACTCGTCACCACAGACGTGTCACTACTCGTCACCACAGACGTGTCGCTACTCGTCACTACAGACGTGTCACTACTCGTCACTAGACGTGTCACTACTCGTCACTACAGACGTGTCACTACTCGTCACTACAGACGTGTCACTACTCGTCACTACAGACGTGTCGCTACTTGTCACTACAGACGTGTCACTACTCGTCACTACAGAAGTGTCACTACTCGTCACTACAGAAGTGTCACTACTCGTCACCACAGACGTGTCGCTACTCGTCGACCGTGCCACGCACCGGAGCGGGGCCGCCCGTCGTCCCCGTGGAACTCCTGCAGGCGGCGCTCCAGCTTTTGCTGGCGCCGCCTCTTCATGACAACCTCCGGGTTGGAGATGGTGCGCGTGAAGCTCGTCTCGGGCATCTCCTTGTAGACCTCCTCCGCCACGCCCGCACTGAGCACGCGACAAAGACAAAGATCCCCCGCCACCCCCCCCCACACCCGTATAGCCTTTAATAGACTGTTGAGGCAAGCGCTGTTAGCGAGTGGCAGCTATGAAGGCCGGCGGGGCGCACGAGGCGGTGGGTGGCCAAGCACCATGCCCGGCCGGCCGCCCTTGTCTCCCGAGTGGCGACGTTTGCGCACCGTACCAGGTGCTCATTTGAGTCGACCTCGGGGAGGCCCAGGTCCCGTTCGCATAATTGCCACTGGTGTTGGCCGTGAGCGGGAATCGAACCCGGGTCGCCGGTTTCGTAGCGCAGCGTAGCGCTAACCGCTACACAACCGCTCCCCACACAGACTCCTACTCCCTTTTCCACTGGCACAGTATCAGAATATTTTTTTTACACGATGGTGGAATCCGATGAGCTACAAAGCTCTTTTTCACAGATATCCATTGGCACATCTGAGCCAAACTAGCGCGGGGGCCTGGCTCATTGTCACCAGTACAACGAAATTTAAAATGCTCACCAGTCAGTGCATTATTCATTAATTTAAATAATTAAAACAAGAAATAAAAATAAATGTTATTATAATCAATTAATTATATATATACAAACTGCCCAAGTATGCCCACATAAAGGTACATTTTGTCATTGCACATCCCTATTTTACAGTCAATTGTAAACAGTATTACTTAATAATTAATCAGCAGTATTGAGTGTGGTAATTGCTGTAGGATACAAGCTGTGTTTGAATCTGTTTGTCCTTGTTTTGACTGATCTGAATCGCCTGCCTGATGGCAACAGCTCAAACAGAGAGTGTCCAGGGTGAGAAGAGTCCTTTATAATGTGCTGCGCTTATAAAGGAGCTAGATGGACTGTCGCATCACGAGACAGTGAGAGAAATGGCACAGGCTTGGGGAGGCCTTCATCCAGCAGTGGGATTTGCGATGGCTGAAGATGATGATGATGACAGCGATTGTAGTTGAGCTGCATTACACGCACGAATAGCGTTGTGTCAATGCAGAAAATGGCTTGAGATTACAAAAGTAGGGCGAGGGTGGGGGTTGCAAAGCTTAGGCAGGATTAAATAGACAATAACGGGCGTTAAAACCTCACAACCGGACACGTTTGGCAGTTGGATAGAATTCAACTGTGGGCACTGTATGCAATGTAAACACAATGCCCCTTTTTTTTGAGTGTGGTGAGGAATGGTGGCGCCTAGGTGGTGAGATGTTAGCTGCCTCGCCTGGTATACAGGAGGTCGTGGGTTCGATCCTGACCCTGAAGCCTGCTGCTGTATATTTGGAGTTTGTGTGTCTCTCTGTCTCTCTCTCCCCGTGTGGTCGTGGGGATTGATCTCCGGGTCCTCCGGTTATTCCCTCCACATTTAGAATCAACATCACGCGTCTAGAGTATTTCTCCGCTATAAATTTCGACACGACCACAAGCCACTTCGCTGAGCTATCACTTGCGATAGCAAGGTCTTTTCTGAAAAACAGCTGCCTAGCTCAGTGGGCCTTAGCTGGTGAAATAAAAAACAGTAGTTAGAAGAATGTGATGGGAAACAGACATGATTAACAATAATTTAAATTTTGATTTAAAGGTTTCGTGACTGCAGTGATTCATATTCTTGGTTCTTTTGGTAAAGTCACGTTGAAGGGAAACAATCAAATAATAAAAAATATATAAAACAATAAAATTATCACGACGTTTCGACTGCAACACAAGCAGTCATCATCAGGTGTGAAAACCAACGGCAAGAACATTTGAAAGAAGTGGCGTTTTGTATTTATTTATTTTTAAACGTTAGCACCACAGATAGCGATTTGACAGTTTGTTTAGATGGACGAGTCCATCTATGTTCGGAAAAGAGGAGGGGGGAGACGAAAAATTAATGTATGCTGTCTGAAAGCCACCGTAAGCGTGAACAACCAATTAAGGTGGCGCATTTCATCATTAAATCCCAATCCTCTGTTTACGGAAAACAGGAAATAAACACAACCTGTAAGGTACACGTCCAGAACTAGCTGGGGTGGGGGGGGGGGGGTAAAGGCCGGTTTACAGAGGTGAGTTTTCAAGACGGGACTTTAAATATAGCTCTAACAACTCGGATTGTCTAATTAGCACAGGGTGAAGTGTTGTTCCAAAGCTTGGAGAGCAGCTGCAAGCAGTGGCAACGTCCCGCTCAGCCGTGGCAGGACACGTGGCTTGACCTCGGGGTACTCAGAAGGCGATCCGAACATCTCAGGCGACCTATCGTTGGTGTATAAAGACGGACCCCGGTTCGTGGAAATATCGACTGCCTCACACTCAGCATCCCTACCCGAGGTTGCCCGGAACGGCAAAAATTAGTTGTCAGAACCCTACAAAAATAAAATGTGACGCTAAACCAATGTTCACTTCCATTGGGATTCATCACAAACAAGTGGGGGGTGGGCAGTGGCACAATGGTTAGCGCACCGAGAGTTACGAACCCGGCTCCTAACCTCGATTGCCCGGCCACGGCTGACATCAGTGGCGAGCGATACGCGGAGTCCTCTGTGTTCCGCCCCCTCCACTCTTCACCAACCCGCATTGGACCGAAGTATGGTCGTGCAACATGCATGACCAGTGGGGTGGGGGGGGGGCAGTGGGGAGTCGGCAATCAATATAACAAGAGGAGCCATTTTTGATTTTCGAATTCGGTCCACTCAATATTTCAAGAGCCACAATGCAATGGTGGTGAATGTACGAGGCTGCTGGTCCTTGATGAATAACGCCACGAAGGAGTCCTTATTTTTACGGACAGCGCTTTGAGATACGACAATATGAAAGGCGCTTTATAAAATGGAGGTTATTATCATGATTATTAACTCTGCAACTATTACCGTTCGCTTATATCACAGTCATTCATTTTATTGGCATTTCGAGAGTAGTCGTTGACACCGTTATTATCGGCTTTCAATTTCGCTTAGATTTTATCTTTATTTGCGAGTGCAGTTTTAGTTCTACGCACAACGCTTTTGAGACCTTTCAATTGTAAAGGCGCTTTTATAAAAGAGGTTGTTACTGTTATTATCCAAGAGCCGCCACGCGCCTCCAGAGCCACAGGTTGCAGACCCCCGACCCATGACCGATTTACGGTTATAGTGTGGGGGGGAGAAGAGGCCTTCATCCAGCAGTGGATTAACAAGAGGGCTGCACGTGTTACACGTGCGCGACCGACCCAAGTGAATAACGGAGCGTGAATATCGACATGGCCAAACTCGGCGCCCGCAGAACCTGACGGCTGCGGAGGCCCAACTTGAACCCCACAATCCCTCCCCACCCCCCCCCGGGGAGCAGCACGTGCTCAATTTTAAATCCTTCTTCTTGTACAAGCAACCCAACAATGCCGACATTAATTAGCGTTACCATCTGCTTTGGCTTATTAACCCTCTCCAGTTCTGATGCACGTGGGCGTACGTCGCCAAAGCGAAACCAGAATGAAAACTGAAGTAAAAAATAACTTAATCGGCACACCGAGGCTACCGCCGGGCCACGCGGGAGGGGGCTGCGCATGGCACAGTTTGGCGCCGGCTACCGTAGCGTGCCGCTACGGTTCTCCGCGGTGAGTAACGACGTCTTTAAAAACGACGGGGCCGCTGCTGCTACTGCTGCTGCGCCTCTCTCGCGTACCGAGATTCGGCGGTGAACAGGGACACCCACCCACCCCGCGCAACTTGCAGACGTCTCGGAACGGGAAAAGGGTTAAATAAAGCGGAAATGAACCGTGCCATCGACAGGCGGGACACCCCGCGCGCACGGGCGCTTGCACGTACGCCGAGAGAGAGAGAAAGCTTCGCAAATTAAAATCACGCTCGGTGATTCCGCGCTAAATTGGAACATGCGGTGGCCGCCACGGTGCAGCACGAATGCCACGCTCCGCCACTGATGCCGTGTTCATTACGAACAACTGCGCCCGGGCAAGGGAGGTCGGGGATTATCTACGCGGCGAAAGTGATTGTTGCCACTGCCGGTGCCTTGCGTGGAATCTTTTGTCCATCGCAAGGTTCGGACATTAGGAGTAGAATTTATGATTTATAACATTTTTCGGGGCTAGGCCGCGCAATGATTTCGCCAATTGCTAAAACAGAATCACATAAATTATTATTTGAAAAATTTGGTTGTGAGACTCGTTCTTCAACTCACCGGTGAGCGCGAGTTAAAACAATAATAATGTGTGCATTGTTAAAAGCTTGTAATGCCACGTGACAAATTAATTTGTTTGGCCGTGTCGGTTTGGTGGGGTTTTAAAACACAAATTGACTCAGGTCATAACGTAGCTTAACCCAAAATTAAACTACGAAAAACTGGCAGCGTAAACCTACAACGTGTTAGGCAAGAGTTCATATTATACGCCTGCGGAAACCTTACGTTGCGAGTGGACATGTGTGTATGAACCCATGGCACCTGGGTCTGTCCCATGACCTCCTTTCAGCGAGCCTTCGACACTTCCCGTGGCCTCGGAGTGCACCTGGCCTGGGCCAAGTGCCGTGGAGACTTCGTGACGAACGCCGGCTATTGCTGCTGTTGTTGTTGTTGTTGATTAACAAAATCACGTAAATTATGACATGCCGAGTGGATGCCTGGATTCCAACCTGGATTTGTATTAGTGCGGGGGCTAAGCGTCGCTCAGTCACCTCAGTAATCCCAAATGCAATTTGTTTTCCTGGCCCCCGTTTTACAAAAAATAAAATATATAAATTGAGAAAACAATTTTGCCGCAACAAGGAGCGGCGATTGTCCCATGTGATTGCCCTGTGTTTTGTTGGCAATCGAAAGCAAAGATTCACTCCCAAAGGATACACGCGTTTAGCCGTGTGAGCACCCGATAAGGGAAGGGCAGTTATCGACCATCAACTGAGGATGGTATAAACCCATAAGGCATGTGGTGTGGGTAATGTGGGGAGGGGGGGGGGGGGTAGAGAGACAAAGGTGGTGTGGCACACGTGTTGCCTGACACACCACCATGAAATATGTGACCATCGCAAAGAAGCGTGGACAGAGGAACGGGTAAAATGCGTTTGTATATTAGGCGTTTGCGCGTCTCTCGCACATTTAGAATCAACATCACACGTTTATAGTATTTGGCTGCTATACATTTCCCCATGATGAGCCACCATTTTTTGATGGCAACGTAACATGTGAAAAAGAGCTACGTAAGCTCAGTGGGCCTTAACCAGGTAAAATAAATAACAGTTTATAGTTTAAAAGGTAAAGGTGCAGTCTTGGAACTGCTATGAGGGCTCGATCAGAGCGAGTTTCTTAAAACCCTCCTCTCCCACCCACCTGCCTGTCCACCGCCGACTACAACCGCACAGTTACGTCTCTAACGGTGCTGTCGCCTGCATGGAAGAGTAGGCCAAAATAACCTCGCTCTCTGCATGCACGTACGACAGAACGTCTTCCGCACCGTACATAGCCAACCAACCTAGCGGATGCCCTTCCACCCCCTACAACGGGCGCTTGCCCGACCCGCGCGTTATTAGACCCAGCGCCGGGCAGGAAACGCTCGGTAAAATTCACGACTCGCGCCGTTTGCCGGGACAAAAGGCCGCACGGCGTGACGCTTTGGCGCTCATTTATTTACACAGCTCCCACTCCCCCCCCGCCGCCGCTCTCCTTGAAGAGCCTCGCTTTATCAAATAATTTTATTTCAAAGGTTTCTCCCCCCCCCCCTTCAATATTTCCACTCTCTCACCGCCGTTACCCAACTGCCCCCACCCCCCCCCCCCAACGCGCCGGTAACCAAACGCGTTTTTAAAATTAATTTCGTTCTCCATAAGAGGATTTTTTTAGGGTCAGATCGCGTAAATATAAATGTGTGTCGCTAAACCCGCCGCCACCTCGACACGGCCAATCCGTAAGGTTTGTCACGTAAATAGAGCATGCCAATTTGTTACTAGTCTAATGACCGAGGACTTGTCAGGATGTCAACCAAGGCCTCCGATTGGTGCAGAGAGGGCTTCCAGAACGATTGGTCGGGAGACGACGGTTCAAAGGGATTGGAGGAGAGATTTTGAACGTAAAAGGCGGGAAAAGCGAGGGCGGACAGTAGGGGTGACGGTTGACAACCGTTGGTGGAGGAGGAGGAGGATGAGGATTGGATGAAGGAAGTGGGGCGAGCGAGCTTCCAGAAAGGGGGGCTCGGGGAGTATAAAAGGGGAGGGGCACAAGGAGAAGGCGACGTTCGGGGAGAGCTACGAGCTTCAAGCATCGAAAACGAAGCCCGGGCTTTGTGTTGGTGCTGTGCCTAAATAAAAGGCTCCGAGTAGCAATGTGCGTCGGTGTCATTACACCAGTTCAGCACACCGGTGTGTTGGAGAGTAAACCGCCCAGTAAATTGTGGGTTTACTCTCCAACACACCCACAATAGATTGTGTGGGTTTACTCTTCAACACACCCATACCTGTCAACCCATACGGTTTTACCCATATTATTGTACAGGGAAATTGAGTCTTCAGGTCCATACGGAGTATAGCCGTTTCAATACGTGCCACAACAAAAAAAACGTGTCTATTTGTTTGTGCTTCTCTCTTGTGATGGGACTTTGTAGGATGAACGTTGAGATTTATAAGGGGCACGGGGTAACCAATAAGGTCTAAATTGGTCTGTCAACCTCTTATTAGCACTGCTAATAAGGGGTTGACAGGCATGCACACCTGCATGGCCGTGTGGATTTTTCTCCGGGTCCTCCGTTTTTTCCCTCCACATTTAGGAATCAACGTCACGTGTTTAAGCGTATTTTGCTGCTCTACGTAAGCCACTTTGTTGAGCTATCCTATGTTGCCAGGTCGCGTCTGAAAAACAGCTACATAGCTCAGTGGGCCTTACCTGGTAAAATAAATAAACTTTAAATAGCTCCGACTCCAAGCTCACGACCAACAGTCGTGGTGAATATTTGAACCTCTCTCCCCTGCGCCTCCTCCAGCTCAAATCGGCCCCCAGCGAGTACCTGATGTTCATCCATTAGAGGGATTTTTTGATGTCGGGTTAAATCGCGTGATTATAACTGTGCCGTCGAAGCCGCCACCACCCGCCACGGCCAATTGCTAAGGGTGTGTCACGTAAACGAAACGTGACGATGAGTCACTCGTTCAGCACACCAGTGCGCCTTGTGTTGCGATCGAAACGTCGTGGTGACATGTTATTTTTCGCTTCATTTTATTTTTCTACCTACGTGAAAGAACCAAAAGGCATGGATTCCTGCAGTCACGAAAGCTTCAAATCAAGATTAATTACTTGCTTATCTATTCTTCGCACCGGCAAGAAGGGGGGGGGGGGGGGGGGGATCTTCACGACCTGGTGTTCCCCGTGCGCGCGTACGTGTGCACGTGCGTGTGTGCGCACGTGTGCACATGCATGTGCGCACGTGTGTACGTGCATGTGTGCGCACGTGTGCACGTGCATGTGTGCGCGTGCCGTGCCGTGCGCGCGAGTGAGCTGCCACCTGTCCGCCTGCGGGGCTGCGCCAACGTCGGGGGCGTTCTCCTCGTCCTCCTCGCAACGCGACGCCTCCCTCTCCCGCCTCTTCTTCTCCTTGCGCTCTTTCTTGGACAGCGTGCGCTTGAAGTTCTGCATCACGCCCTCCTTCTCCGCCTTGCCGGCACCGTTGCGGTCCACCTTCTGCACCACGCGACGCCAGGTTCACACTACGCGGAGACGACGTCCCGCCATAACCGTGCGCCCCGCCAGTAGGCTCAGCTGGCCGCCACCGCGCATCGAACGTGACGGGGCGAGAGGAGGGAGTCCGAGCAAATTCCGGCATGGACACGGCCAAGTCTACACGTAGAGACGAACCCGTGTGTGGTGTGTGTCTATGGGACCTTCCTGCCAGCATCCAAAAATGATGAAAGATGAGAATAGCCGTTTAACACTTTCAGAAAGGGTGCAAAAACATCATCTCAATTTTCTAGATGTAGAGTGGAAAGGTGTGTTATCTATGGGACACCTTCTCACGAGTATCCAATAATGATGAAAAATAAGAATAGGTTTTATCCCTTTAGAAAAAGTAAAATCTATTCCTAGGGTATGACCTATTTTTCATCATTTTGGAACATGTATGTATTGCGGCATATGCAATACACAGACGATTCCTGACTCGGGCGCCTGTATAGTGTGCGGAGTTAGTATGTTCTCGCTCTCTCTTCCCTGTTCTGCAGTGTCTGTGAGTGCAATTTCTGTGTTCTACAAATAGTGAGTGTGTGTGAATGCGAGTGTGTGGGGAGCGGTGGCGTAGCGGGTCAGCACGACAATGGGGAGACAAAGGCGGCCGGGAGTGGTGCTGGCCACCCACCCCCTCGTGTGTCGTGCCGGCCTTCATAGGTGCTCGCTAACAGCACTTGCCCCAACAGTCTGTTACAGGCTATATGAGGAATTTTTGTTTTTGTGTGAGCTAGTGTGGTGGATCTGCCAGTTGTCTCAGTCAACCCATGGCACCTGGGTCTGTCCCGTGACCTCCTCTGTCAGCGAGACTCCGAAACGTCTCGTTGCCTCGGAGTGCACCTGGCCTGGCACAAGCGCCGTCGTGACGTCACCGCGGCTGTTGTATGCGCGTATGTTTAACGTATTACGCACCGCACAAAGCCAACCATGCTAATTGGAGGCGCTGTTGTGTTGGGCGAGTGTAAGTGTGTTTGAGTATCAGTGAGGATGAGTGAGTATGAGTGTGTGGAGTTTGGATGCGCTCCTCCTGTTCCCTCCCTAGTTCTCCGGTTTCCTCCTCCCGTCGCTAAACATCCTCTCATACTACATAACCGGTATTGGCCAAAAATTTTACAATGATGAAAAAATGTACCTGACAACTACTCTATTGGCAAGAAACACAGCAGCAGCAGCAACAACATCACCATCCCCCCTCTACTGTGAAAAACCTGCGTATCAGTAGTAGTTATGAAGAGTGGGTGTGTGCGTGGGTGGGTGCATGGGTGCATGCATGCATGGGTGGGTGGGTGGTTAGTTGGTTAGTTGGCTAGGTGGCTGGGTGGCTGGGTGGCTGGGTGGCTGGGCGGCTGGGCGGCTGGGCGGCTGGGCGGCTGGGCGGCTGGGCGGCTGGGCGGCTGGGCGGCTGGGCGGCTGGGTAGCTGGGTGGCTGGGTGGCTAGTTGGCTAGGTGGCTGGGTGGCTGGGTGGCTGGGTGGCTAGGTGGCTGGGTGGCTGGGTGGCTAGTTGGCTAGGTGGCTGGGTGGCTGGGTGGCTGGGTGGCTAGGTGGCTGGGTAGCTGGGTGGCTGGGTGGCTAGTTGGCTAGTTGGCTAGGTGGCTGGGTGGCTGGGTGGCTAGGTGGCTGGGTGGCTGGGTGGCTGGATGGTTAGTTGGCTAGGTGGCTGGGTGGCTGGGTGGCTGGGCGGCTGGGTGGCTGGGTAGCTGGGTGGCTGGGTGGCTAGGTGGCTGGGTGGCTGGGTGGCTGGGTGGCTGGGTGGCTGGGTGGTTAGTTGGCTGGGTGGCTGGGTGCCTGGGTGGCTGGGCGGCTGGGCGGCTGGGTGGCTGGGTAGCTGGGTGGCTGGGTGGCTAGTTGGCTAGGTGGCTGGGTGGCTGGGTGGCTAGGTGGCTGGGTGGCTGGGTGGCTGGGTGGTTAGTTGGCTAGGTGGCTAGGTGGCTGGGTGGCTGGGTGGGCACCTTGACGGGAGCGATGTCGTTCTCGTTCTTGAGCACAAAGCGCCCCTCGCGGTCGTCCTTGTTCCAGTTGAGCTGCACAACGAGCGGCTTCTCGTGCTCCCCCAGGCGCCGCTCCTCTGCACGGGCGGCACGGGGATAAGGCGGTTGGGCGACAGCACGTGGCATTGGCAACAATACCAGCAGGCCACAAGCGGCAATGGTACCAGCATTGGCACCAGCATTGGTAGAAGCATTGGCACCAGTGTAGCATTAATGCCCACAGCAATGGCAATGCTGTAACAGCACAGCACTCGTCCCAACACCGCGACGAACCAGATTAACAAATAACACCGAACAGCAACTACTTATACAACAGCATTATCACTGGAGCGCATTACAAATTAGTATTATTATCGACATAATTATTAATCACATCCTAACCCTGAATCTCCTCCAATGATGCTCTCATCCCTCCCTCCCTCTCTCCCTCTCATCTCTCCCCGTCCCTTCCCCCTTCCTCTCACCTCCGCTTGAGTGAACCTCGTAGAGGGAGTACCGTGGCGCCGTCAGCATGCGGATGTCCGGGCGAAACTTCTCACTCAGCGTCTCCACCACGTCCGACGTGGTGGCCGTGCTGGACACGCGGATGCACTTGGTGGCGAAGTTGCCCGACATCTTGTCTTGGAAGTAGAAGCGCATCACGCCGTGGAACTCCAGGTCCTGGCGACGACAGAGAGAGGCCGGACGCGTCAAGCCGGAAGAAGAAGCCGGACGCCACGTCTCCCCCCCCCTCCACTCAACCCCCCCCCCCCCCCCCCCCCCACCTTCTCTCTCCTAACCGCCCTGCAGCTGGGAAGCCAAGGTGGCTAGGAGATGTTAACTACCTCACCTGGTATGCAAGAGGTCGTGGGTTCGATTCCGACCATGAAGCCTGCTGCTGTATATTTGGAGTTTGCGTGTTTATCTCTCATCACCATCACGGTGGTTAGGAGATGTTAACTACCTCGCCTGGTATGCAGGAGGACGTGGGTTCGATTCCGACCCTGAAGCCTGCTGTATATTTGGAGTTTGCGTGTTTCTCTCTCATCACCATCACGGTAGTTAGGAGATGTTAACTACCTTGCCTGGTATGCAGGAGGACGTGGGTTCGATTCCGACCATGAAGCCTGCTGCTGTATATTTGGAGTTTGCGTGTCTCCCTCTCCCCCAGTGGTCGTGTGGATTTTTTTCCGGGGTGCTACGGTTTTTCCGTCTACAGTTGGAAACATGCGACAGCATTCTGCGTGATAAGCCACTTCGTTGAGCTATCAATTCCAAGTCGCTTCTGAAAAAGAGCTGTACAGCTCTGTGGGCCTTACCTGGTAAAATTCAAATTGTTCAGTTTAAAATCGGACAAATAAAATATACAGGAAAACCCCGGTTTACGTCGGTGGGATGGGGAGGGGGGGATGCGTTCCTGCTGAAAGGTGCCACAACGAATATCGAAACGACGTCAATCAAAGCAATTTACAGGGGAGTAGGTGGAGGGAAAGGCCCGAGGAGACGTGACGGATACGAGAAAGGACGGATGATGCCGTCAGCGACGTGAACGTGTGTGGCGGATGAGGCGATGCTAATCGGGTAGCGGACGTATTTGCGAAACGTCGTAAAAGGGGGAAGAGACTTAAATCAGGGTATTACATACCTACCTCATTACAGACCAATCAGTGCCTACTTCATTACAGACCAATTCAGACCTCATTGGTCACCCCGTGCCCCTTATAAATCTCAACGGTCACCCTACAAATTCCCATCACAAGAGAGAAACACAAACCAATAGACAAACTTTTTTTTTCTTCCCCGTATTGAAACAGCTGTACGCCGTATGAACTTGAAAACTCAATCTTCCTGTACAAAAAAACGGGGTAAACCGTATGGGGTTGACAGGTATGGTATTACTACACGTTCTCCCCCTGTTCTGCAGAGTGTGAGTGAGTGTGTGGGTGAATCTGTGTGAGTGTGTAGGGTGTGTTATACCCCTGCTCTGCAGTGCGATTGAGTGTGTGACAAGTGCGGAAGAGTGAGCGAGTGTCAAGGAATTGTATGTTCTCCCACTGTTCTGCACAGTGTTGGGTAAGTGCGTGAGAATGGGTGAATGCGAGCCAGTGGAGTCTGTACTTCCCCTGGTCTGCATTGGTTTCATCCGGGTTCTCCGGTTTCCTCCCATAGCTAAAACAAATCACACAATGTAACCGCTATTGAGGCCAAAACATCCCAAAGCTGGAAAATTACCTGCAAATTTCTCAACTCGGATTATAAAGCAGCAACACTGTAAAAAACATGGCTGGACCATCCTACACAAAGACTATTATAACCAGGTAAGGCCCATTGAGCAACATATAGCTCTATTTCAGAAGCGACCTGGCTATCACAAACGATGGCTCAACGGTGTGGAAATGTATAGCAGCTAAATACTCTAAAACGTGTGATGTTGATTCTAAATGTGGAGGGAAAAATCGGAGAACCCAGCAAAAAAATCAACGTTATTTTTTTATACCCCCTGTATACCAGGCGAGGTAATTAACATCTCACCACCGTGGAGTCACCATGGCAATGAAGTAACAATCTGCTTTGTACGCAAGTACGTTGAAATTCTTTCGCGCCGTACGTGCTAATCGGAGATACTTTAAATTAACTTCAGTGCATAAGCCTCCGGTGATATGGGGAGAACATTCCATAAAAAAGTAAACACCTAATCCAGTAAACGAAGCCCCCCCACCACGGCCACGTGACCCTCGCACGGACGCCCGCTCAACGAATAACGGCAGCCGATAAAAATAGGCAACATTTTTATTGCCAATTAGTGTACTCCATAAACTAATGAAACCATTAGCGGGAGGCAGCAGCAAGAGCTGAGAGCAAGCGCGTTGGCAAATTGGCGAGAGCGCAGGATCACGCAGAGCTGAATACCATGAGCAAAAGACAAAGATCGCCTGTATAGCCTTAACAGACTGTTGTGAAAAGTGCTGTTGGCAAGCACCTATGATGGCCGACACTGTGGCACAAGAGGGGGCGGGGGTGGCCTGCGCCACGCCCAGCCGCCTTTGTCTCCCCAGTGGCGACCGTTTACCACACACCACACCACACACTCATTTCAGGCTACGTCGACCTAAGGGAGGCCCGGGACCGGTCCAGATAATCGTCACTGGCGTTGGCCGTGAGCGGGAATCGAAGTCGGGTCCGCTGGGTTCGTAACTCAGGCGCGCTAACCGCTACCCTTACCGCTCCCCATACCGCGAGCGATCGCGACAACAACGCGTGTGCGTTGGTAACAATCCGCGTAACGGGGGCATCGCTCGCCTCCCGTAAATCGGCCGCGTTAATAAGAACGCCTCCGCAGATTTCAAAACGAGCGCAATCATAAGGCGCAGCCGGGGAATAATGGCCAATGTGAAATTTAACGAGCATTGTAGGCACAAAAAAAAACGGCAGTCTCAAAAGTTAATTGGGGAAATCACCGAGGGCCACGTCAGGCGTGATTTTAACAAAGTCTGATGCTTATACTCCTGCCCGGTAGCTAGAAAAAGACCACACGCAATGTAAATGGTATTGGCCAAACATCCCTATAATTTCTTACTTTTACTTTTTAGTTTACCAAGAAAGGCCCACTGAGCTTCTAGAAAACTATTTTTCAGAAGCGACCTGGCCATTACAAATGGTAGCTCAACGCAGAGGCTTATAATCACGTGGAAATAAAGAGCAGCCAAATGCTCCTTTAAACTCGTGACGTAGATTCCAGATGTGAAGGGAAAAACCGGAAGACCCGGAGAAGAATCCACGCGACCAAGGGGAAAGAGAGACAAATACGGGCGTCAGGTTCGCGATGGAACCCACAGCCTCTTGTATACCAGGCGAGGGAGTCAACATCTCCTATCCACCGTGATGATGATGATGATGAGAGAGATATGTATATGCAACTCCAAATAAACAGCTTGAGTCAGGATTGGGATCGAATCCACGACCTCCTCTATACCAGGCGAGGGAGTTCACATCTCGCCAGTATGGCGACTGGAGAATTTCTTGAAAATCTTACAAATTACTCAATTATGGAATCGCACACAGCAGTAGCAACAGCAACGATGCCCCCCTCCCTGACTGCCTTGACAGGAATCTCCTTCAAGGAGAGGGCTTGAGACTCAAACGAGGCTCTCTCTCTGCTGGGGGTAAAAGCGAGCGTGAGAATAAAAAAACGAACGCAAATTCGTCAACAAAATTTGAACGCGGGTCACCGATATCGTAGCTAAAAGCTTGACACCACTGCCAACCACGCTGAACCCCCTCCTCCCTCCTCTACACCGAATCCTCGAACCCATGACTAATGAATGACAGCCGCAGTCCGTAAGGGTACACCTCGTGTCAATGAAACACGACCTCAAATAAATTATTGAGCCGCGCACTTGGCAAAAGGGCCGAGAGCGGGTCGAGATTACGGCACAAACGCCGAACCGGACGGGATGACCTCCAATTCTCCACAGCGGCAGAGTTGGGATGGTTTGTTGCGTAAAATTACAAAGGTGCAGCCCTGCAATTGCTTACTCGCGTCACTGCTGACGGATGAGAACCACACCCCCGCCCCCCCCCAACGTCTAGAGGATATTTTTTTCTATTTTTTCCACACCGGCGGAATATCCTGGAAGTACCCACACTACCCCACCACCAATACCATTACCCACCGTTCGTCACTAAGTGACGGCGACGTCACCACGGCGCCTGTGCCAGGCAAGGTGCACTTTGAGGCCGCGTTAAGTGTCAAAGGCTCGCCGACAGATCACGGGACAGGCCCAGGTGCCATGGGTGGGCCCAGGGGTCGGCAACCTATGGCTCGCGAGCCAGATGTGGCTCTTTTGATGACTGCATCTGGCTCGCAAATAAATCTTAGCTGACATTTCTTAACATGATAAGTCTTATAAGTCATCAAAAGAGCCACATCTGGCTCGCGAGCCATAGGTTGCCGACCCCTGGGTTGGCCGACTGAGATGACCAGTAGATGCACACCAGCTGTATGCCCTACTGAGCCCCACCACCACCACACGCGACCTGCCGATCATAGACCCTCTTTTTTATTTTTACTTATTTGTCCTGGAGGAATCCGATGAGCTATGTGAATGGCAGCATCGTCCAGTGGGTGGCAGCATCGTCCAGTGAATGGCAGCATCGTCCAGTGGGTGGGTGGAAACATCGTCCAGTGGGTAGCAACACCGTCCAGTGGGTAGCAACACCGTCCAGTGGGTGGGTGGAAACATCGTCCAGTGGGTGGGTGGAAACATCGTCCAGTGGGTGGGTGGAAACATCGTCCAGTGGGTGGGTGGAAACATCGTCCAGTGGGTGGGTGGAAACATCGTCCAGTGGGTGGCAACACTGTCCAGTGGGTGGGTGGAAACATCGTCCAGTGGGTGGCAACACCGTCCAGTGGGTGGCAACACTGTCGAGTGGGTAGCAACACCGTCCAGTGGGTGGCAACACTGTCCAGTGGGTAGCAACACCGTCCAGTGGGTGTGTGGAAACATCGTCCAGTGGGTAGCAACACTGTCCAGTGGGTAGCAACACTGTCCAGTGGGTACCAACACTGTCCAGTGGGTGGCAACACCGTCCAGTGGGTAGCAACACTGTCCAGTGGGTGGCAACACTGTCCAGTGGGTGGGTGGCAACACTGTCGAGTGGGTGGCAATACTGTCCAGTGG